TTACTTCTCGAGGAAATTTTCAGCCCCTGTGTACTGATTAGTGTAATTTTAGTCATTCGAACACCAACATAATTCTTTACGAAGTCGACATTGAAAAACAAAAAACTGTCGTGACTTAATCGCTAAGGCAGAAAGAAACGCTGTCGGAAAGGTGAAAAATATCAAATTGAAAGAAAAAACAGAAAACTCTGTAAAGTGCGACTCCAGGCAAATTTTCCTGAACGCGTGGGTTTGGGCTCGAAAACACCTGCCCAAGGTTTACGACAATATTTATGTCGGTAAAGGTGAGACCCTGGTGTGAAATTACGCTGAGGACAAAAAGGGAAAAAACATCAGTTACAATAAAATTTATGTTCCCGCACGAAAGACACTGACATCCAAACACGGCAAACACAATGTGTCTTTCGTCTTGGAAAAAACCCACTCGGAGATTTCTCTTGGATTATTTATTGGTCAAAAGAAAAATATACAATTTCAACGAAAAACTTGATTGTTATTTGAGCTTTGCTTGCAAAATACATCAGGACTTGAACAAATTTACGGAGCAACTGAACAAAAATGATACAAACTGACTTTCTGCGCCTGAACTTAACCTACGCGATGAATTTAGAAAAGCTTCACTGTAATGGCGGATGTCTCTTGACACCTCTATTAAGACCCAAGTGGACGCCTGACATAATACACGACGTCTGGACTCAAAGATGTATCTTGCGCGGGATCTACACTTGCTTGAAAAAGAAAAGTGTTCGCTTCATACAATGTCAAAGAAACTCAATTGTCAGCGATATAGGTCGGAGAAAACTTGCTTGAGTCAGAGTTATCTCGAACCAATCATAGTTTCTTCGGTAAATGTTTTTCCCTATACTAAGGGTTCTTGAAAAATGTTCTCAACGAGAGGTTTCCTTGTTCGGTAATATTTTTCTCTAAGGGTTCTTGAAAAATGTTCTCAAAGAGAGTCTCCTTGTTCAAACTAAGAGACTGTCTACGGAAAAACTTGTCATACCTTTCCCATCTACAATGCCAAGAAACTTGAGAACTTCTCGATGAAAATTTGCTCAAGTGAAAGCGGCTCAAGACAAATTATACTACATGTATCTGTTGTAATTTGTACAAGACACTCAGACCAGTGTCTTCACCCTCTGTTACACCTCCCAACTCAAATTTGTTTTCCGATTGGAGGAAAACGTGTCACGTGCCATGGGTCAACACTCACTGACTCCCTTGGAAGACACCAACTTGAACTTTCGACTCACACGTGATCAGGTCGTGCACTTTGAAACCATGTCAAATGTGCGTTCAGCTGGCGTCAAAACAATCAATTTTTGGCAGTCATAGCTAGACGTTTCGAAATTTTGATATTTTAACTTTAGGTAAAAGCAATTGAAAAAGGTGTATTGCTGATTTTTCACCGAAAGTTCTAAGATTTTTAAATTACTGTTTGGATTTGCAAAATATGAATTCCTATTCTTTCTCATCACTCAACAGCCATGAACAACAAGGGTTCAGAAGCTTTGTTCCAGGCTAGTTCGTCGTGCAAACTTCGTCTTGTGCGCATGCTTGTGGAAGGAGGAACCTCGGTCAATGTTCGTAACGAGCGCCAGGAGACACCACTAATGCTATGCTGTCAATCCAAGACGGACATCGATGAAAAAAGTCGAGTTGTGAGTTACTTACTCAGCCAACAAGCAAAGGTAAATTTGCAAGACGTTGACGGTCGGACAGCTCTGATGTACGCTTGCACTTCAAACTCTGGAAAAGGAATCATCCAGGCTTTGATGGATGCAAAGTCTAATCCGTGGATCGAAGATGGAAGTAAAAGTACAGTGTTTGATTATGTAATGAATGCTGGGGATTTAGAGACCACGAGACTTTTAATTAACGCTTGTCGAGAAAACATGGAAATACGAGGAAATTTTCAAATGAAAAACTTAGAAGAATGTCTAGCTAATATGCAGGACATTCGCAAGTTCTCCTGGCCATTGATGGGCCCCAGGTTACGGAGAAATCACATGAATTTGTATGCTGCTGAGAAAGAAGACACTTCCATCTCCAGCGGAAATCTCTTAGGTGCTGATTTAGGGGTTGATGGCGAAAATCCTCAACCTGAGAGACGAAGGAAAAGATCTGTGTGTCACTTTGATCCGCTTGATATTCAAGAAATATTACGTTGCTCAGAACAGGCTAATACCAATAGATCAAAAATAGAAAGTGAACAAGAAGGTAAAAGTGAGACGGAAGGGAAGCGAAAAACCTCTGTTCGTTCACTTTCAGAGGAGGAAAGGTTCAGTGTTCAGATTTCTGATGCAGAAACCTCGCCGCGTGACCCTTCATCTGGGCTTGAAAAACTGCTAAAGCTACAAGATTCTTTCGGCTCTTCAGATTCAAACGAGTCCCCTTGCCCGACAAGTGATAGTCGCAGGGATTCATTGACAACAGCTGGCTTCTCTTCTGCGAATAAACACTCATGGAAAGAGCAAAACTCGATGCAGGAAAATGGTTTTTCTAGTTTAGAAAAGGTAGAAGATATCACAATCAAGGGCGGAAGCGAGGTTTCTTTAGCACCAAAGATGCCTAATGGCGATGATAAGAGTGAAAACGCAAGTTCATTCGCAGGCGATGAGACGCAAAAATCTGCTCATTCAAACGAAAAGAATAGAACAGAAAAAGATTGCGAACAGGAAAAACTTTTCATAACTCGCAATTCCTCCACGAGTGTGATGCTCAACGAGAACTGCTCATCATTTGTCGAGACCTCAATTCAAAGTCTAAGGCAGGTAAATAGGGACTCCGCCGTGGATAGGGCATTTACGGAAAACACAGAAAACAGGTCAAACCGGATTGTATCTCCAGCAACCAGTCAGCAGTCGTCTCCCGTTTTGAGCCCCATAGCATCCCCAAGAGTAACTCGTCGTCAAACTACTGCACTGACGTTTAAACAAACCACGGCAAGTCCTCGAGCATCTCCAGTGCCGCTTATTTTCGACAACAATCGACAAGAAGCAGGAGCACCCATTGTAAGACGGTACACTCTATCTGCAATGGACATGGGCAAGTTACAAAACACGGCTGGTATCAAGACCCTCTTAACACCACCGACACACTCTTCCACCGCTGACATTGACACCAGGAGGGTGGGGCTGGAGGGATGCTTTGCCCCTCCTGGGCTGAGGAAGAGTAAGAGTGATCTAACAGATTGGAAGTCCATTTCACGCAATTTACAGGGTAAAGAGTATGTAGAAGTCGGACCAAGTCCCGGGCCAAGCATTCACAGCTTTCAGCAGCTTGTCGGCAACAACAAGGAAGGAAGTGATATTACTGAGTTCCAGTTACCGAGTATCTCTTCACTGAAGAAAGGAAGTCGTTCAACGATGATCACTACCACAGAGAGCAAAACTCAGAATGCTGAACACAGAATGGACCTGCCATTACCTTGGCCAAATAATGCCGACAAACAACGCCTGTGCTTCTCTGGTCAGGAATTTCCTGTCGATGATCAAAGACGATCACCCAGCCCAGGACGCAACTCGCTCCCCTCATCGCCAAAAGACCCCACAGTGTCATCAACAGCTGGCGCCTATGACTCCGTTGCTATAGCCAAAGTGGCTGATTTGTCACCAAGGGGCTCAGAGAACTCACCGGGAGATGTGTTTCCAGACCTATTCTTCAACTCTCCCACGAGAGCACACTACACAGAGGACAATAATTCCAAGTTGGGGGAAAGCGTAAAAGCAAATTCGACGAATTTCAACCTCAGAAATAACAGAGACGTCCTTGCTTTAAATTCCAACGTTTCCGAGGATCGTAATGCAGTTTCGTCTCCCAATCAGCAGCGAATTAGTCCAAGACTACGCCCAGCCACACTTCTACCACCGCTGACAATTTCCAACAGGAGATCGCCGACGCATGACCTGGAAGATGGCTATTTCTCGGGGTCACCTTCACCAGCGGATGTTGAAAGTCCACGAAGAAAATCAAGCAATGAGTATCTGCGGTATTCATTTCGACCGATTTCCCCCCGTTCCCCTATTCGCTCACCAAAGTTCAACACGGGAAAACTATCTCAACCACGTTAGAACTAAGTATTCTATGAAAGATTTGGCGGCAGTGATCGATACAATTCCAAGCTATGACTGACTCATAACTGAAGAAATGGTTTATTAGACAAAATGGACTAAAATGACTTACAACACTGCATATTAGTTAAAGACACAAAGAATTCATCGCTTAGATTGGGATTCTAAATCATCTCAAATACGAGCAGAACTACAGGAGCAATAGAATCTCACAAATCATGCAACGCTTGAAAAACGTTTTATTTTGCCAGACAGTCCCCTTTATGCCAGGCGTCGTGCGCAGGACGATTTATAAAGTTAATCCTTTAACTCCCAAGATCTGATCACTAATTCTGCCCACTAGCTGTTACACATTTCCTTGTAAATTCCAAGTTAAAAGAGAATTTCATGTTCGATCGAGATAACAACTTCTTCCCGATAAGATTGAGTGTTATCACTACCTTTTTTCTAGATAATGTGTGGATATCATAGAGAGAAGTTTCGTGTTGATTACTGGCGGGAATAAAAGGGTTAATATAAAGTAAGACTCGTTTTCGAAACGAGAATCTAAAGCTGGTACTTGCTTGTAGCTTTCATTGCACTTCTTTTAGGATTGTTGAATGTGTTAACGTTTACCCCCGCAAAATTTTTTTTCTGTCCTGTGTCAACCTGTGTACATAATTACTAAAGAAAATAAGTAGTAACTAGTTAGGATTCCGACCAAGTAAAAGAAATTTATTTCCAAAGATGTAATTTTTCTTTGCTTAGGGTTAGGGTTGTCTCTGGGTCGATCAGAACGAAACATCTCCTCTCAGAATCTCATGACTATTTGCGCGAAGAACTGAGTGCTAGTACCCAGGCTATGCCCCTTCATTACTTTTCGATGCCCTTTAGAACCGGGTAAGCTGCTAAGAACAACCAAGGCTTCTTGGCGAGCTTCCCATAAAATTGAAGGCGGAAGAAAAATATTTTCTTTAATAGCTACAGATTACTGTCTTTGCAAAGCGCCAAAGTGCCTTCGCAGAAGTAAGAAATGTGAGAGGTACCGGAAACGAAATACGTTAAGTCAAACGAAGAAAGAAAACTCCCGGCTGACCGGTTTCCATCGGCTTTGTTTCACATTAGGCAAACATCTCTAGTTATCCCCAAAAGATGGATAACTAATTCCGCGAGCAGCACCCCAGTCCAAGTCAAACAGGCTCTTTATCGAGACATTAGCAAGTTTCGGACACATCTTGAGGGACTTGTTTCTCATAAACACAAAATCTGTATTGGATTTGGTTTTCTTCAATAATGCCTTGAGGCACTCCACTGGGTGTACTGAAAAAGAAAAGAGAATTCGTATAGAATCCTCTCTGTTCATCGACCGAACTCAAAATTGAATATCTTTCATATCTTATTTAACCGACGACTCTTTTGATAATGCTCATTCCAGCATTAAACAGGAAGCTTGCCATTTATGAACATTTCAACTAGCACAGTTCATTATCGAGTTCTCTTACATTCAGTAGTCGAGCAGCGTAGCGCGAAATGCGAATGCCTGCGCCGGGTTCTATTCCTTCTAGATGATGGGCGCTCCTGACAAGACAAATAACCCCCTTTTTCTTTTTGAGCGCTTTTTGAGGAGGGTCATAAAACTAAAATCAAAGCTATCAAAACTGCAAAAGAAAGATTGGTATAAGTTTTGATTATGATTGGTTGAGGAAGTGGCACGATTTTTATGAACCAATCAAATAACGAATTAAAGCAAAACCAAAGCAATTACGGATTACTTTCCACATTCAATTGAAATTGCTCTAATAAACGAACAAATGCACAATTCTTCATCTTATTCTACTCACTCGCGCAAAGCTTTTGATATTAGCGACCTTGTCTTCATGCAGGACACGTGTCACGTATAAACCTAGCCATGGTCCAGGTGAGGAGGTTCTCCATAGGCTCGATTACCCGCCGCTGTTCGGCAATGTGAACTCGCGCTCCTCCTTTCCCCGAATCCTCCTCGGGGAGGAGCGAAGACCAGACACGAGAAAGCGGCGAAAATCGAGCCTAGTTCTCTATAGCTCTACAGTAGAGCAAAATCCGTTCGAAGGTCGGATTTACACTCCTCCGATGATCCAGATGTTTTTCTTAAATCATATTTTGACCGGCGGATGGTATACTAGCATGGAAATGATCCTCGCAGTTAACCAGCAATTGAAGAAAATGATACTGTCCCTCTGACTCATTTTCTTCTTTTTTTCTTCAGTTCTCTGAAGTTTCACGTAACTCCTAACGTAACTGGACACTTAAAATGTATTTAACTGAAGCAATTTTCAAGTTGCAAGGTGTCTTACTCGGAACGTGTTATGTATTGTACCCATATATTGTACCTTATAAGACTGTACTTGCTTCTGTCAAAGGCCGGGAAAAATGCATCTGACTCAAATTCTTTGTCTATCTCTGTTAAATAAATTCTTTGACAGTAAGAAGACTCAATTGCTTCCTGCGAAAGAAAATAAGAAAAAAAGTTTTGGTTATGTGAAAAACAAAAGAAGCGAAGAAAGAAAAATGCCTTTCCACTTTATCACAGAAGATGCGAAAAATGGTTTGAGAATATCAGTCACACATTCACCAGCAGTTCATCATACGCCTTTAAGGTCCTTTCCATATTTTCACGTTATGATCTTTTACAAAACAGTCGCTCAACAAAATGGAGCCTGTTTGTCAAAAATTACGTGCCAGTTGTTTTATACGAGGTCTAACCCACACCACGGTTTTACAAAAGTGGTGGGCTTTGTTAGGGATTCTCTGTAAGAGGGTTGATTTAATCAAATACATATCTTTCCACTGTTAGCTTTCGGCCCTCTTGACAATGTTCACAAAAAATGAATGTTCACATAAAAGGTTTAGCTAAATTGAGGATTGTTTAGTGCGTGGTTTTGTTAAACAACGGCTAAACTTTGTTTAAATAATCAGACCTACCAGTTTACAACCACTGCAATTTTTAGTTGTGTCCAAAGGAATCTGGGACTACATTGATCAAGAAAACTTAGACTGCCCTCTCAATCAATAACATGCAAAACTAAAACCATCTCCACTTGGTCGCCTGCCTTTTCCCACACATTAGGTTGTTTGCTTGTTTCTACGGGAGTCCCTTTCTAGTGATAAGCTGTTGAAATCATTTTGGTTTTGGTTTTAACACACTAAGTTGAAAAGTGCTCTAGTGATCATACCATGATAATTAAGATATTTACCTTGTACACATCACTACCACCAAGTACAAAAATTTCTTCCACTGTGTCCAAAAGAGGAGGGAGAGATAACATTTGAACTGCAGACCAGACACTGTTAAAAACATGGTGTGCTCCAGGAGGAGGCTCCCTGATTCAAAATAAATAGAAACTAAACACTTGATGCACAAACACTGTAACAAACTTATGCAAAGGAGGGAATTAAGCCAATGGCAGCTACTTAGAGGGTAGATTTAACCAATCAAAAAGAGTTGGTCATCTAATTGAAGCCTTACACAAAAGTCTTTGTACACCTTACATATCTGTAATTCTATTCAAATTGGTAGAATTCCAGGAACAACAATGCAGGAAAATAAACCTGCTAAAGTCTGACCCTTCAAAGAGCAGATTCTAAATTAACCATTTGCACCCTGTTTTATTGAAACCACTGGTGTGGTGAGAATCAACACAGAGGGCAGGCTTTCACGGGTGTCAGTAATTATCATAAAGTTGTATTTCATTCTATTATTGGAGCTTTGCACTTGCATAAACTTCCCTAACCCACCCCTCAACCCCCCCCCCCCCCCAACCCCCTCCACCTTTTATCTGGCCACCACTTTGGCCTGTTGCTTAAGAGAAGTTCTGTGATATGGTGAAAGCAATGAGAGTTTAAAAATAAGAAAAAGTTATGTCATAGAATGTTTGTGTGGGTTGTAACATCCCTAAGGTTACTTAGCCTCTTTCATTTACTCAGTTTTTAGAGACAAGTGCTAAACTGGGATAAACAAGAAAGAAAAAAAATGGATAAAAGTGGTAGGTTTCTAAAGAAATTGTGGTGCTGCCTCAGCGGGCAAAATAATTTGGTTTAATCAGCTGAGTTAATGATGTATTTGGCTGCCATAAAGACTGAAGTTTTGAGCTTTAGCCCATCATATTCACTCTGGTGAAGGGCTAACACTTGAAATATCAGCTTTAGAAACTCTTTACCATGACCAATTAACATTAATAACTCAGCTGATAAAACCAGATTATCTAGGAAACAAAATTGGAAGTCCTCTTCCACTCCATAAGCCTCACTAGAACCCTGCCCATGTTTGCTCACTTGCTGCATTGCTTGTCTCCTCTGAGAAATTTCCTGGTATTGGTTGTAATTTGTTTTGTGAGAGGGATATGAGATGAGTTTTGACCTGATTCAGATCCTCTTTATTTCTATAAACTGAGAAGTCAAAACATCCACAAACAAAATAGAAGGAGTTGATTCCTTGATTGTTATGTGTGTTCATATCAAAGGTACACATGGTACTTACTTCAGTGTCTTACTTATAACAATGTTCAGTCTTCCGGGTAAGGGTTGGTTGGTCACATCAAGCGATTCCCAAGTTTTTCTTCCCATTAATACAGCATTCCATTTACCTATTAAACAATCATTAAAAGGCTTGTATTTAACCTCTTCCCCAAAGCCACGTGCCAAAAGATGATTAGAAATTTCAGCAAGCTAGAGGCAGACCAGTAACCTATTTACAGAGTGTGGCTAGAAAAACTGAATTTGCAACATCCAAGATTAAACTAGTAATGAACAGCAGGGTGAAGTTTTTGAATTCAACATAACTCTATTCTTCATTGTGTGGCCCAGGTTAAAATTCTGGCTGATGTCAATCTATTATGTTCTAGAGTGATGAATTCTCTCGTAGGGTATATATGGATAAAAGTGAACTCGAGAAAAAAATCTGACAAAGGGCTCAACACCAGGAAAATTGACTGGCTGTGGGGACAACTTTGTCTGGCTGCTTCCAAAATATCGACCAAAGGAATGACATATATGTTACCACCGAATATTTTCCTTATATTTCTTCTAAAATAAAGATACATTTGAACTTATAAAATGTAGGGGTTAAATGATTAAAAGATTTTACTGATAGAAAACTAATTCATTCATTGACTGGTTCATCAACTCAGGATTCAATCATATTGTGAAACCATAACTTTTAGTAACTGAAGCATATTAGTTTCCCCTCTACTTGAAAATGCAGAATAACTGAAGAACTTCAAAAATTTCTGGGAAAGTACATCTCTGAACCATCGAGGGGAAGGGAAGCAATTCTCCTTGTGCCCTATGTTAAGTATGCCCAGGCACCCAATACTGATGCTCCTATGCTGCAAACCTTAATAAAAATCCTTGCCCTGATAGATTCATATCTTATTCAGGGAGAGTAACAACAGATTTCTAATGGTTCAGAAATTGGGAAGAGCTACAATCAATTTCTCATAAGCAAGTTTATAATACCTTCAAACACTTGGAGCTGTGCTTTAGCAGGGTCCATGTGAAACAGGTCACCAACTTTTGTCTCTAAGAGACCTAGAAACTTTCCTTTACGAAAGCTGATCCTAGGAGCATGAACAGTTACTATTTAATGCCCTACTACCTCTAGATCTTGTGTTCCTTTTTATTGATTGTATTTCATATCCACTTTCAGTGGGCTTAAAAGTGTTCAACACACCTTGTTCATTAACCTCTGTGGTAATTTTCTTCAAGAACATCAGGTCTGTCCTTAACAAAGGCAAACAAAAATCTTTTAGTTTTGATACAGTCTGTTCTAATAGCAGTTCCTTGTAATAAAAATAGTAATAATGGATGAACTTGACAGAGACTTTAAATTTCCTTTTATCTTCCATCTTTGAAAAAAGTTTTCATGTGATAGTGTGGTATATCAGAAATAAAGCACATGTCATGCCGATTAGTATGAATAATGATAACCCTTATGGAGAGTGCCATCTTCACTAACGATTTAGACGAGAGTGATTTAAGACCACAATCGTTGACAAAATTGAAAAAGGTTTGATAATTTTTCCCACACCCAGCAAGAAAATTGACAAAACTCTCTAGAGTTTTCTTCTATTATTTACCCAACATTTAATGAATAAATGTTAAGAAGCAAGTGAGCTAAAGGCAAAACCATCCATAAAGTTCGTTTCCTTGAAGCAAACAATCAATAGAGTTGAATACATTCAAGCTAAAGCAGGTTTACCTCAGTGAGGGCCAGGGCAATCTCCCGTTTTTCCCAATCCCCATATTTGAGCTTACGGCAGCAACACAGCTCACACAGCGAACATGATTGCCAGAAAAACTTGTTATCATAACTAACAGTCGTTTGGTAAACGTAAAATCGTGCGAAATATGTATTAGTCGAAAGAAGGTGCGATTCTGAGCTGATCTATTATTTCGAAGGTGCTAAGTATCAAACTTTGTACAATAGCCAGAAAGTACTTATGTCTTTCGATCCCTTTGGGAGTGTTAAATTATTTGAGGAAATGTAAAATAACATGTAGGCGCCATTTTTGAACCTTCACACGCTTACCGCTGGTATCTACACTGCAGACTAAATCGCGCGTCAACATCGCGCAATTTAAAGAGTTTAATTTTCGGGGTAACCACAGAAGTAAACTAAATCTCGGTTTCAGTGTGGTTTATACTAAAACAACTATTCACCTCCACTTCAGTGAGTAAGTGTTAATTACCGTATTTCCTCGAATAAGCGCCCAAGCTCGAATAAGCGCCCCCCCCCCTTCGTCCCTCACTTTCTCAAATTAGTAGGGATACGAAAAAAACCTGTTTCCATTGCTAAATTATTTATAACTTTCTAACCTTCAACTTCGGCGGAACCACTTTAGGAGGATAGTTTATTTCCTGCTTACAGTTAATTCCACGTGCTTACAGAGTTCCTTTATGTACGTTTATGTACGTTGTCCTATTTCTGCGCTCTTGGTAAATGCCGTTAACTTCTCAGGCACAACTAACTAAAGTTATTGGGATGCGTTTTAAGAAAGCAGTTGATGAGGAATGAGAGCTCAATCGAAATGGACCCAACAGGCTAAAAGCTGTCAGCGCTATACACATACTTCACTTTTTAAGTTTCAGTTGCATTGACGTTATACTTCTTGGCTTATTCCCTGTCGTCTTTTTGAGCGAATAAATCCTTTCCCCTCGCTTAGACAAATTTAAGATATTTAAAATATTGAATTTACTTCTACGCGGATAATTGTTTTAGTTTTTGTCTTTCTATTTAAGTTTTAGCCAAATTGAAGTTACATTTCATTAAAAGAAAAAAATTTATAAGAACCCCTTTGATTAAGGACCTTCTTTCAAATAAGCACTCCCACCCCCACCCCCGGTTCCTTTTAGCTGAAATTTCACTTAAGCGCCCGGATTTGAGGAAATGCGGTATAGCATCACCCCTAACGAGGAATAGAAGTACTCGTCGAAATATTGGCCTATTTAGAGTGCTTCCTGTCGTCGTGCCAGTATTGCAATTAATTCGTTTGTCTATATGTAAGGATTAATTATAGTTAAGGTTGGAAAGAAGCGTGCACTTGTTGGCTTTTTTTTTTAAGAAAAGGGAGAGTATAAGTAAAATAAATAACACAAAATTCCGTATATGCGTTTTATTCATCACAACTAAACTACACACTTTGATAATATAAAAGAAAATTGAGCCTGATTGAAAATCGATATCTTTCTACTAGTTGTCATGGTAACAATGCAACATATTTACTCCAGGAGTTACTCCTTTCCCTCTGCTAATTCGAAGCACTTCTTAATACGAATGAAGCAGCACAATTCACCAGCACAAGAAGGAGAAGCTTTTCTGCATATGTGAAGCAAAAGTAAGCAGCCTTTCTGCAGGGGAAACAAACGCAAATATGATTAGTTAATACAGACAAATTATAGTATTCAAAGGGAAAAGAGTTCATGATCATAACTAAGTATTAATTGGACAGTGCTTAAATAGCAGGTCAGGTCTGAAATATTTTACTATCGATGCCACATTTGTTTTCCTAGCTCTGGTAAGATCATTGGAAAAATCTTTAATAGAAAGTACGTTGCAACTGCTAACGTGAATAAAGGAAAGCGAGGGCAGATAAAAACAAAATGAAGCAGGAAAAGTTATTGCAATGTAACTGGCGAAGAAAAAGGGGAAAAGGAAAATCCTCCCTATGTATGTATATGTATATACATATTTCTGCAATGGTAAATTGGTGTGCCGTTGGAATCATCATCCTTTAAAGTAAACTGCTTCTGTGTGTATGATGTTTTACTTAAGATTTTTTAAAGGTAAATCGCAGATGTGTGTTTTGCGTCAAAAATTTAAAATTTGCAGAATTGCAAGCCAAGCTCACGCCTTGAATGACAGTTACTAAAAATGCATCACAAAAAAGTTGCGTGGCCCAGTTGGAAGGTTTCAAAGAGTTTAATTGCTTTCACCCTTTTACTCCTAAGATCTGATTGTTAATTCTCCCTTCTAGCTGCTACACATTTCCTTGTAAATTAGTATTGAGAATTTGGTGTTGGATCAAGATAAGAACTTTTCCTTGATGAGTTTGAATATTCTTATCACCTAATTTCTGGATAATGTATGGATATCATGAGTAGAAGTTACATATTAATCAGACCTGGGTGTTGCACAAATTAAAGAAATAAAAGAGAAAATCATAGCTGTGACGTTGGTATAATACTGAGCTGCTTTACCTCTAGTGGGGAAAGCTCTGGCAGCGGAGTGGGATGGTTTTCTTTTATACACTTAAAAAAGTTGTCGATGCATCCGAGCTTTTTACATTCGTCATGACCCGCAACCTTCCAGCAGACTTGTGCCTTACCCACGCATGCTATCTGTAATTAGCAACAACAAAATGATCTTTAGACGAGTATTTGACGACCATTTTCCAAAGGAAGGCGATTGTGTTTTGTCGATTACTCAGGGTGAAGATGAGAAAATAATTCTTCAAAGCCAATAAATGTATTGCTCAAGCCATGATGATTTAAGAAAAAAGAGGTTATATAAATAAAATACCCAATCTAATTGCCAACTTGGCAGAATTAAAAATTGTGATATGCACACAAGCACAATAACTGACTTTTCACGAAATTTTGGTAATCTGAGAACAAATACAAAAAAGTAAGCCGTAAGGGGTATTGCTTCAACTTACAATAAATGGTGGGAGTCCCTCTGGTTTGACGGGTTTGGCAGGTGCTGTAGCGTTGGGGGCATTGATATCATTAAACGCCAAAGTGTCTTCTGGTAATCCAAAGTCTCTCACAACCTGTGCCATTCTTTCATCATGTCGCTCATCTAGGAATTTGAACACAGCCTTGTGAAAGGGCATCTCAAAGGCCGACACATATGCGACAAAGGCGCCGAGAAGCAAGAGAGTTGCAAAAATCTTCATTTTGGCTCCAAGATGTGTGCACTTGACACTGTATCATTGGTAAAACGAACGTGCCTTATATAGAATCCCACACACCTCACGAACTTTGAAGGTTTTCAGAAACAAAAGCTAATGCCATATTAATCATCGGCTTACACAGCTTTGTTTATCCTGTGATAACCTCGTTAAGCACACTTTTAACTTCATTAGGTGTGTTTCGATGGAAAAGATCCCGCTGAACAATGGCACTTCTTTAGATGTTTGAAGGCCGGGAAAAGTCAGTATCACTCTTATCAATAAAGATCATTTTTTTTAACTTAAAAGGCCCTTAATGACACCCACTGTTATGAAAATGCATTTTGAAAGTTGAAAAATGGCCTCCTTTCCTTTCCTGCAAAGTTCAGTTGGCTTTAATAAAAGAAAACGTCAAAACTTCTTTGACGACGACGGTGAGAAAATCTTGGTGAAGTTGAGTGTGTTTGTTTCAGTCACAGCTGAAATGCAGGAGTTTCTGTAAAAGCTGGTCTAGGGCAGTCTATTGTCGACGGTAGGACCCCTTACCGCCGTCTACTTAGCCTGCAAGTAGGCAGTCTCGTGTTTGGGTTTCGCCCAACGGCCCCTATTCGGAGTACAGCTGCCTATCACACCAACCACAGCCGCTTATAATAAGAAAAAAAGATATTAAAACCCCTGAAAGACATCTTGACGAACTAAAGCAGATTTTTAAATGCATCCTGAGAGGCACTTAGTTATCTTTAGGAAGCTCAAAATGAAACGTAGATCGAGACGACCACAGTTTTTTGATTCGTTCTTTAAAACTTGGTATCAGAAAATACCGACTTCAGTAGCCCTCAACAATTTGCGAGTATTTCTTTTACATACAAGATTTTCATAAAAACTCATAATCTTTACAGCGGCGGGTGTCCAACTTATAGCAAAAAACACAAAATACAAAAAAAAGAAGCTGAGAGATATGTCAAAACAAGTATATTTTAGATACTTCAAATTGAGTGGTAATACGCAATCTTTTGGTTGCAGATATTAGGTTTCGGACAAGTAGCACCAAAAGAAAACCCCGCAGGTCCGAGGGCGCATCGGACCTCCAGATCCTCCACTTCTTTTAGAAACATTCCTTAATTTCAGCTTTATGTGCCTTTAACTCGGTCAGAGTACCTTCATTACCTGACGATGCCGTAGATCGGCGAAAGCTTGGAGTAAAAAAGAATAGAAGAGCTCAAAGCCTCGATGAAATCGTCCATTTTATTAACATACTACCGAAGAACAACTTCAAACGTTTGTTCATCTTTCTGCAGCGTCTTTTTGGAAAGTATAAATTATAGGTTCAGAGCTGCCTGAAACTAGTGATAAATTATGGTGGCTTTGAACTTACACCACAACTTTTTTTTAAACTTTGCTGAAAGATAAATCTTGACATCTCAATTATATCTTACCGCAGTTTTGGAGGTCTCAGGTGAAGCTCGGCAATTTAGAAACGTGTAAGACTTTTTTCGTTGCTGATTATGTCTTAATTACCACCTGTGGTACAACAAAAGAGTACAATGAAACACGTGGAAACCATGGCAAGGAAATCTTGGTAAAGATAGTTGCTTATATTATTGTTGTGTTTAACAACAGCAAACTGCTCCTAACGAGGCGGCTGAGTTTTCGAAATGTTCCTCCGATGACATCTTTTCACCTCTGTAATCTGTGGTGTTGTGTAAAGAGAAAAGCTACTCAGTAAAATTGCTTGGAAAATTTTAGCAAATCAGGTTTCAATTTTGTTTGGAATTTTGATATTTTTCTCAATCAAAATCATGCTGTTAGGTAGGTAAAAATTTTTACTACTCGTATCTTCCTTAAAATAATTTTCTCTATTGTCCAGAAATGATGTTACGTAAACACGAAACTAAGAAAATGAAATTTGACCAGCGTGAAACAAAGAAAAGAATTGAGATCTACTCAGACTAATACAAACTTCATTAATTGTTTTGTTAGTCAACTGCAAATTGTAAGCCAACATGAAACAAAAGAGCATATTAGTGAACAGCAAAGGATACCGAGATTAATTAAAGATCTCCTGATAATCCGGCCGGGCATCAGGCAGCTTTGTACGTTTCCGTCTTAAAGTAGGATTTAATATACCCATACATCTGCCAAACTGACCTTATATCAAGCGTTTTATTTCTATCTTAGGGAAACAATTATAGTGTACTGTAACAGCTATAGTGTACTGTAACAGTTCTAGTGTACTGTATATTTAATCATAGATGGCAACAACTTGGTATGTCCCTAGACGCCTTTACTACAAATATCCCACACCCTCTGTTCAGACAAAATTCCAACCTTTTGATAGCGTAGTACTGATAGAGGGAAACATTTTGTAGACAGATTCTACTACGTAGTATATCTAATTGAGAAAAAAAATATTAGGAGACAAGATCAGAAATTGTTCCACAGATACTGACGAAAAAAGCTCCTAATTTGAAAAAGTTCAAACGGAATCAAAGAAAATTACACATATTTCTAAGCGGGGAAAAGTTTCATCACTCATGGCGAAGTCTCTTTCGAATGATACAGATGGGTTACTTGACCTTCAACAGACCTGTTATTTTCTCCCCGGTCGATGTATGGAATTATCTACCCCTGTTGTGTAGTTATTGACCTCGTTAACTACAAATCGAGTCTAATCTTGGGATGCTTACCATTTAACTCAATAGAAAACGGGAATTCTGGTCAGAAGCAAAAAGAACAGCAATTTTCCGGAACGTCCAACTGAAAATTGTGGATCACTAGTTTATTATCACTTTGGGTTGGGTTAAATGTACTGTTTTGATTATAGCTTATATTGTGGAATGAAATGTAAAACATTGTTAAGCCTGTTCCAAAATTCTTCCTTTATTCCGTTTAAAAGCCCTTTCCTTTACAAGTCCACTTCCAGGATATAAACCTTTCTTAACCCCTTCCCTGCTCCCCCCCCCACGATATAATTGTGTGAGAACAGGTCTTTAAATTAAGATTTTACGACACGTACGGTAACTAACTGACTGACATATCTATGGCCTAGAGGAAGTCTTAGAATTTCTTCCATTTAATCTTTACTTGCATACTCCTGCTTTAAAAATAGTTACTCCACCTAAGCCTTGCTAAGAGAAACGTTTTAATTTTCAAGAACCGAGAGTGAGCAAGAGAAAAGTAAATGAAACAATCAGTTCCTCAGAAAGGCTGATGACACAAAAGAGGGGAACAAAAGAAAGAATTAGATGTTGAAATTATATTACTTATTACAAAAGGTTTGATTCCTCTTTTGTTTCCGTCCAAACAAAAAGAGATAAGGGTAAAGTCCCTCAAAGCTGTTTCAACAGTAAAATCAAATGCATTTGTCCCACGAAGCGTGTGCAGTGCGGTCTCATGGTTTTCTGTGCTGTATATAAACAAACACGCGTTAGTCTGTGCACATCGTGTTTTCCAGAGCACACAGGAGACGAATAGACATGAAGGCAATAGTTGCTTTGCTGTTTCTCTCGGCACTGGCCTTGTATGCTCAGGCGGAGATGGAGTACCATCCACATGCAATTCTAAATTATCTTGAGAGGGAAGATCATGAGATGGTCAGAAAAGTTCGCGGCATCTTGAAACTGCAAGATCCTGGACCCAGCTTTAAACCATCCTTCGAACCATCTTTCAAGCCATCTTTCAAGCCATCTTTCAAGCCATCTTTCAAGCCATCTTTCAAGCCACTGGTCCCACTGCCAATAGTAAGTAGCTGCGTATTTAACAAAATTGATATCTACTTTTTGCTGGCTTTTCTCTTGCCTGTTGACCAGTGCGTACGCTAAAAATAACAAATGTTACAGGTGAATTTTTTGCGATGAAAATTATCTTGTTTCTGACAGATTCTTACAGAAGCCAACATGAATAAACTCAAAGTCTTAAGACAGATTTCGTTTGCGGCGCCTTCTTCCATATCATGCTTGAGTAACTCATCATATCATCATGGAAATTTTTACATAAACAAGAACTCATCTCCATTTCGTGCACATTTCCAACTAAATTTAAAGAGTAAATGCCTTGTCTCCAAGGGTTTTATTTTTATTTTTTTTCTTAGAAAAATAGGACCAAACAGTGGAGTTTAAAATTGAACGAAGTTTTTTTTAGGCCCTAGTTCAGATTTTTCAAGACTATCCATTCATGCCCACAGGGTAACCCAAACTCTGAACGTAAATTTATGAGAAAAATGCTAATATTTCAACACAAACTGCTTTACCTTTGTTTTTCTCTTTTCAATAGAAAAAGTGTTTGGCTCAAGCACTGATCTGTCACCATAAAGCTAAAGAAGATGCTTGTGAACATCTGAAGTGTATCAAGCTGACTGGATGTTGTCTAAAAGAAACAGGGATTCAATTTAATCCACCTCCTATTGTGGTGGGTACTTAATATCGCTTACTTACCTCCCTTCCTCCCTCCCCTCCCTATCTACCTGCCCTATTTACCCTACTTACTAAGCGACCTTCTCCACCTTCCCTTACTGTGAACGAAATTCTTGCTGAGCTGACGAACCTCTCTGAGTTTTAGTTCAAGCTGCCGAACTTCAACAACAAAAGAACGTAATATTTTGATGTCTTAATTGTTGGGGTATACAGAGGGGAGCTGTAAAATAGACGGTTCGTAGATGGATATTTCAACTGATTCCAAATACAAAGAACGCCAATTGACATTTGATTTGCACGTGGAGTTTTGATTTAACTGAAGGAAATGATTTTTGCGATGATTCAGTTTATTTTGCGGGACTTAACTTTTCTTTAATGTGATAACTTACTTTCGTATCGAGGGATATTCACAAAAATCAAACTCGCAAAATTTTTTGCTATACGATACCTTCTTACCTACCAACCTACCTACTCCTCGCTCTTCATTATTTATTTGTCTAAAAAAAAGACATTTTTCTTCAGATATGGCAAAGATGGAGTGCACAAATAATGTCCAGCTAGCAATACTTCTTTGTATATAAACCATGACATCCTAAGTCTTTATTGCCATCATTCTTCGCGTAACGACCTCTGTTTTCATTGTCAAAAAGTTCACAATGTAGTTCATCAACCACCGAGAGGAAAAGTAAGCTAATTTAATAGTTTTCTTTGGGTTTTCTTTTCATCTCTGCAGAAGAGATGCCTGCCAGTTATCCCGTGTTGCATGCTGGGAAGCGAGACCTGCGAAGAGAAGCTGTGTTGTTTCGTGCGATTTGGAGAATGTCTGAAAAAACTTGGTGACAAAATTGACGCATAACTCATTTTATCCAAGGGATGGGAAAAAAGGAATTAATCGTTAGACCGAAAAACTACCAGTAGCTTTAAAACGATATCAAGTTGTCATGTGTATACCTTTGTAACATTAAAGAGCCTGATTGTAATAATTCTCTGGTCTGTTCTACTTGTTCTTGTACCCGTGTTCAAAGCGCTATGACAACCTGCTCTGCTCTTTCCAATATGCAGGACAATCCAGAACAACTTTAAAGGGGTAAGGGGACGATGATCACTTTCATAATTTTTAATTTCAGTCAGCAATTTCCTGTCACTTTCCATCAAATGATTTGTTGTTACGCTGTCGCTTAGACATCTCCACAGCAGAGACTGAACTCCGTCGATATTTTTTTCATCGCACGAGACCTAGACGCGAACATAGCGCGAGCTTTACTATGTCAACACTTGTCAACAAGCAAAACAAACATGGCGGCTCGATACGAGCGCGCGATTGTTATCTAAAAGGTGTATTAAGGCAGTATAATCAAAAGAGTAAAGTTTTTATGGTTACTTCCTCGCATGGAGGCCACAGTTTGTGTCGTGGTCTGATCTTATTGTTGACGACCTCTGATAGATATCCGCTTTGTTTCCAGGTTAACATGTTTTCAAACAACTTCCTCGTCACACGGTCTGTCGGATCTTTGTTCAAGCGCCCATCCCGTTTGATTTCGTTAGGTCACCTTGCAAAGTGTGTACACGAATTTGGTTATTGTAACACAGTGCGACATCAATATGCCCACGTCCGAGCTTTTCAGGCGAATATCCAGCACACGCTTGTGAAGGTCTTTTGCGTGCTTTAGGTCACCTAGCTGACTGTGTACATGACCCAGAAAAAGGGATAAATTAAAACTAGCTAGGATCAAAATCATGAAAACATCAATGTAATTTAGTGTTAACAACTGAGTTGAAAACGTAAATTGGCCACCGTAAAGAGTAAAAAAGCTGACGTTTCGAACGTTAGCCCTTCGTCTATCGCTCTGACGAAGGGCTAACGCTCGAAACGTCAGCTATTTTTACCCTTTACGGTGGCTAATTTACGTTTTCAACTCAGTTGTGAACACTAAATTACCTGCTATACTCTCCCACCGACGCAGCACCACAGTTTCTTTAGAAACTTGCCCCCTTCAACGTCAATGTGTTACATTCAGCCTAAACCAACAAAAACCAGCGATGTACCTTTAAATTAGACTGACTTTTATTAACGACTATTAGTTAAGTAATTTTAATTTTAAATGTCACCTTGCTAAATTTAACTCTTCTTCTTAATAACTTATGGCGTTTGTTATTTACACTGAAGTACACGTGAAATATACGAGTGCCAAATAATTAATTAGTTACAGCGTTCAACAGTTCTAAAGTCCTTTAACACGAGTGGATTCAAGTCCCAGGGTTTGTGGATGCGGCACCAACTGCTCCTGTTGTGTTGCTGTCACCGAGACTCTAGAGACAACAAAGTAGTTAACGTGTTAATAAAGGAAAGTTCAAATCGGAAACAAGCACTTCATAGAAATAAATACTGGAATCAAACAACAATCTCTCTGTTTTTTTTTTTTTTTAATTTCCCTCTATGGCTTATTTGGATCTCAACCCTCATGTGGTTGGCATTTATTTAGTTCACAGGTTAACTAGTAACGATAGCATGAGTAACCTTGGAATATCACACAATCCAAAAATAACGGCGCGCACAAGTTTCAAAACAGCTGATTTTTGCCTCCAAAGTCACTTAGGGATCTCTCCCTTTCGCTGTGAGCACGTCAGATAACTGAAAACACAATTTACACCAAAATAAAAAAATTTAAGTACAAAGATTCTACATTATAGTAGAGACAGGTAATTACCTCTTTTGGTAAGTTGTTCATGCGAAACTGTAGTAAGGCCTGTGTAAGGGCATTAGACACATGTAGGGCCATTGATGCATCTTCCTCGCTGGTCACAAGTTTTCCCTTAAAAGAAAGCATGGTCTGTCAGTCAGTCTGTCAGTCAGATATAGAGCTGCTACATTGTAGCCAGCCAGCTAGCCAGCCAGCTAGCCAGCTAGCCAGAAAATCAACGATGCACACATTCCACTAGCTGCATTGTACATTTCTTACGTTTCCAATGACACAATGCGTCTCAACATTGACCACCAGGGAAACAACCCACTAGGAGTTTAATGTACATGTGTCTCATCACTGCGCACATACAGATATATCTGTTTCATACTACTCACCAAATCTTCAATTGCTCCTTGGAGAAGGCTCATGTTATTTGGAGCACGATCTCTACTGCTAGCACTTCCAGCACCACTGCTACTGCCACTAGTCACACCTCCTGCGGCAGTAGTGGGTGCATGTCCATACGAGTGAAACCTTTGCTCGTTAGCACTGGGCATCTGCCCATATGGGTCAGACCTTTGATCACTTGTGGTTTGATTACGATAGGGACTATTAAACTGAAAAAAAAAGCAAAAGTAAGCTTCAGAGCCAAAAGAGTGATAAACATCTAATTTCTCCTTACAGTATCAACCTTAAACATTACAGTCATGAGAATAAAGGAAATTATTATGAACTTAAGGAGCTCCTGATTGTCAGACAAATTCTCCTTGTAAGTATCACAAGGAATGTATAGAGAACAGTATGAAGAACTTGCATACTGATGTTAGGGTGTCAAGGGTTAATTCATACTTACAAACTTTGTCCTTTTTTCTAAGCTTGTTACTTATAATGATCTATTTAGTTATAGCTTGTTACTTATAATGATCTATTTAGTTACAGCTTGTTACTTATAATGATCTATTTAGTTATAGCTTGTTACTTATAATGATCTATTTAGTTATAGCTTGTTACTTATAATGATCTATTTAGTTATAGCTTGTTACTTATAATGATCTATTTAGTTATAGCTTGTTACTTATAATGATCTATTTAGTTATTTAGTTATAGCTTGTTACTTATAATGATCTATTTAGTTATAGCTTGTTACTTATAATGATCTATTTAGTTATAGCTTGTTACTTATAATGATCTATTTAGTTATAGCTTGTTACTTATAATGATCTATTTAGTTATAGCTTGTTACTTATAATGATCTATTTAGTTATAGCTTGTTACTTATAATGATCTATTTAGTTATAGCTTGTTACTTATAATGATCTATTTAGTTATAGCTTGTTACTTATAATGATCTATTTAGTTATAGCTTGTTACTTATAATGATCTATTTAGTTATAGCTTGTTACTTATAATGATCTATTTAGTTATAGCTTGTTACTTATAATGATCTATTTAGTTATAGCTTGTTACTTATAATGATCTATTCAGTTATAGCTTGTTACTTATAATGATCTATTTAGTTATAGCTTGTTACTTATAATGATCTATTTAGTTATAGCTTGTTACTTATAATGATCTATTTAGTTATAGCTTGTTACTTATAATGATCTATTCAGTTATAGCTTGTTACTTATAATGATCTATTCAGTTATAGCTTGTTACTTATAATGATCTATTCAGTTATAGCTTGTTACTTATAATGATCTATTCAGTTATAGCTTGTTACTTATAATGATCTATTCAGTTATAGCTTGTTACTTATAATGATCTATTTAGTTATAGCTTGTTACTTATAATGATCTATTTAGTTATATGTTTTTGTCATTTGATTTATTGCCTTGTCCTACTTTAGCTGTATTTAGAAGCCAATTTAATTTACCTCATAATTTGAGCCACTGTTGTTTCCATAGTAACTGTCATAAAAGTCGTCACTATTGTCATTGTACTGTGCCAGTCTAGGTGGAGATCTGGGTTTGAATGCCTCTGGGGGTAGCATTGGATTCCTGTTTTGACATGATAAACAAAACATGACAACTATGAGAACAGGTAAAAAAGGGTGCAATATTAGCATGTTACAAAACATCATGATAACAAATACTAGAGAAGAGACCAGATAGTGTTGCCAAAATACATCAAATAGTTATATCAAGAGTTGTCTCCAAAAGTGCAACCATGACATCACATGTCATACGCAAGACTACCTCACATAACATGATGACACCACATGAGGTACCAGCAATAGAATATGGGCTGTGTAATATCGCATCATTTATCACATTCCATTTTGAATGACTGAGCTGTCGTTTCAGATCGTTTTTGTTTTTTGAAAATTAGCCACTGTCAAATGAACATGTTCATACCCTTCTCCATGTCTTCCACTGTTCCATTCTATACTAACATCATCATTTTCACCATATGATCCAGCAGGGAATGTCTGGTTGGTTTGACTCTCATAATAGGGGTAATTCTGACCCCAGGACTGATTCTGCCTTTTCCCACCTGGGGACACTCTTGTTCTACCCCTTCCACCACGGTTTGATGCTGTAGGCTGTTGCTGGTTGTAACTGTGAGGATTTCCTTGCTGCCCACCTCTTCCTCCTCGCATAGTTGCCTGCCCTCGGCCAGCAAAGGAACCTCCCTGTGCTCCTTGTCCACCCCTCATATTACCATGTCCTCTGCCTCTTGCACTTTGCCATGGCTGCTTTGCTAAAATTTGAGGAATATTCTTTCTTTTATACTTCATCAAGATTTCTAAGAAACTATCTGACCGACATTGTAAAATTAGTTTATAAAAGTGATAATAGTTTCAAGTTTACAGAAACATTTAATTACAAATAAGTTCATCCTATATCAACTAAAGAGTCTATCATAATAAAAACAGTTGGCAGTTTCTGTTTTTGAGAAAGATGGCTGACAGCTCTCAAAACTGTCAAATATACAAAAAAAAGATTATTGGCTACAATTGTACGTTGAAAGAAGTTTTGTATCAATTTTTGTTGATATGAGAGTCTCTTTACCTCCTCTACCCATTTGGTGTGTAACTGTTTGGTTGTTGGCTACTTGGTTGTTGATGACATTGAAAGGGCTCTTTTCAACTCTAGTTTTCACTTGTTGACGACCTAGCATCATCTCCAGTTTGCGTGCTTCTTCAAGCAGTTTGCTGGATAGTTCTGATCGCTTTTGGACACCCGCACGGATACTCTGAGCTACATCTGGGACCTTCTCTTTCTAGTAAAGAAGGAGTAAATAACTTAATTTAACTCAGGTTTCTTTCAAGTTGTGTGTATTAAGTTAATAGCTCTTATATAAACTCATATAAAATCCCTCAGATGCAAATTCTAGAGAAGCCATCACTGCTGCAGTTACAAGTTGCATGTTTTGACTAGATTCTATTTGCATTTTTTTTACTGTTGAAGACAAAGGCAACAGATGCATCAAACCAATAATAACAGCACCTCAAACAAATAAAGTTTGAAGAGATACTTGTGTCTTATCTTTCTCATTTGCTTGATCATTTTAGATTGGGAACTACTAAGATAGGAAGCTAAAAGCTTTCCTGTAATGAAAGTACACATGCTTGCTTTTAGCCTAAAACAGGAAAATTGTTGTCTTCAACTGTTTCTGTACAAAAATGTTCTTCAATGTAAAATGGTCAAGGATTATTCTGATTGTCAAGCAAATAGCAACCTCTCATTTGGATGCTACTCTGTACTAGTATACATCACACAAGTTAATAGTGCTTTTTGCATGCGCTGATTGGCAAGTTTGGAAGTTTGGAAGTGCTATTCACCTTTGAGCAGCTGATGAGACAAGATCACGTGTTAAGAGTTATTTTTTGGTATATTTAAAGAAACAAACTAATTTCTGGTATCTGGGTGGTATATACTAAACAATTATTTTCCTCAGTGTCAGTCAAAAATCGGGATATTTGCCTCCACTTTGGGGAATAATTGTTAATTATTAAGTGTTGTGAGAGATGGAAGTTGAAACATGATGACAGGCAGGCGATGGAACAAGAAGAAAAGAGACAGCATTTCCCTTTTCCACCAACTTTATCCCTACTGGCATGCCTTAAAAAGGCTCAAAACAACTTTACATGCTTGTTTTACCAATATCAAATTAATTGTTTGTTTTGCTGGACAGCAGCTTCATCAAGAAAATGTGCAGCTTTCACATTGGTTTCTTAATTGTTTAGGGCAAGAGAAACCAACTGAAAAAAGCTTTGCAAACCATAAGATACATTTTAAACTACTGTAAAATACAGTCTTTCAATCCCTGCTCTGAAATATGCTGCACAGATTTATACAGAACAGTCCCTTGCATACTGTACCTCTGAGATTGAAAAGAAAACTTTTATCCTAAGACAATTAACATGCAAAGTATTTCTTCATGAAAGACCTTCAGAATAAGGAGAAAAATACTGGGCAAAAAGGAACTTTGCCTTTATGCTGGTTCATTGCTTGTTGAGTGACAAACATATGATATTCTGTTTTTTGTTTTGTTTTGTTTTCCTTGCTTTTTTAATGATAGAGACAAACTGTAAATGAACAGGAATATGTGTTGGGCTACAAGTAATTCAAATAGTTTTAGCTTTAAATTTTTCAACCAGTTTGGTTTTCATTTTCCATTATCTTGTATTCTCTGTCATATAATGACTGAGAGGGAAAATAAATATTGAACTGGTTGGAAAAAATTTCAACTACAAGATAATTCATACCATAACATTGACAATGCATGCCCACTTCATGGAAGAACAAAACCAGTAAAAGAAATATTTTTACTGCTGTTCTTGGATTGGGATGCAAAAATCAGCAAAGAAAACTAAAAAAAATGCTTGCAATTACATACACTTTGCATGCTGAGAAAAATATCATGCTAATATAATGTTTTGGGCCTAAAAGGTTTCCATTCTACAATCTCAGCAGTCTTTCCTACTCACCAGTACATTGAAACGATGTTTGCTTCCAACAAGATGTGGGAACTTCAAGTTGTGATCAAATTTGGAGTCACATAGTTCACAGTGATATCTTGGACTCTGTCCTATAACCTGGATTTCTGTAACATACTCCAGGCCTACAGAACAAGTGGCACAACATGCCAAATTGTAAAACAGGTGAAAATAAACTTCCTAATAAACCATAGCTGAATATTTTCACCCATGATATCCACTGCAGTTTGTTACTATGTAATGTGGCAGTTTGAGTTAGACACTCATTTGTCTTCTCCCTCTAATGCCCAGGTTTACATGTACATGTAACACCTGAACCACGTGGTTGGTGTAAATGATTGAAAAATAAACTAGACACAAGTGCTAGTTATCTACATGTGACTTGTGCATAACAAGCCATTGGAAACACCCCTCCACTTAATTTGCCTCTCCATCTGACCTGTGAAATATTGATACTTGGATTTCCCTAGAACCATCAATCCAGATCTTACTATGCACAGAACAACTGAGAAGCAAGTTTAAATGTCGAGGTTGAAGTAATCAGGGTTCCTACTCCCTTGGACTTCTGAAATACAGCCTAGTCACAAAATACATTTACCATGTATGCTGTAAGTCAAGGTACTAATGCTGCCAAAAAAAGGAAATTTTTGACACATAAAAATTCCTCTAAAAAGGCACAAACATAGGAGACAAACACCTATGTTTCATCATTTTTTGTTGGTGCCATCTGAGCTTCATTAGTACCCTGAATTTTAGCCCTTTAAACCCTAACATCAGAATCCATATTCTCCATAGATTCTGATTCACCGAATAACCCACAGAGAATTTAATAGTTAAGGCTTGTTAGGTTGGTGATCATTTCCTCTGCTCTTTTGATGGTAATGAAAGATTCATTAGTATTACTGTTAGGAGAAATTAGATGCAGGTCATCATAGGGTTTAAAGGGCTAACATAACACAACTGCCCACTCTGTAATCCTCATTTAAACAGACATGTCTGCTAAATCACTTATGTCAAACAAATGATTTCCATTCAAATGCTAAATACATGATGTTTGTTTTTGATATCCCATTGATCAGCTGCATCTTGCTCTGTAAAGTAGAACATAAATGCCAAGAGCAAGTAAACATGGAGAGGTACTAGGCAGGTACAGTGCACATATCAAAGCATCAAGTGTGATATGGAGTCTGCATTCAGCTAACAAACTCCTGCCATGATTTAGAAGTGAAATACGAACTCCAATCATTGCAGATCACTTACCAATAAGTGGCTCAGGGTATGTAGCAAAGTCTTTAGCTCCTATTGGACCACTCAGGCTGGGCTGCTGCACAGCATGCACTGGCTTTTCATAAGGTTTGCGTGAATGACCAGGCAGATATGCCCCTCCTCTGACAGGACCACCCCCTCCTCTGCCACCCCTATTGAATCCTGTGTTCATTGCTGTGTTCATGAAACCTCTCTCCTGGGCTTTTTGCTGTGCTTTCTCAGCTCCTTGTTTCTCGAGAGCCTGATAGCAAAGTATAAAATACACAACTAAGTAAACTTGCCACTAAAGAAAAGATACAACACAGTCAGCTTTTAGTGTGGGAACATCTTGCTTATGCAAACATCTTGCTTGTGACTAAAGCTGCCGAATGCCTATCAAAATCTTAAGACATTTATCACTTTCTTTGGTTTCAACAGCAAAAACATCACACTTGTCTTCTCACTGCAACATACACAAGTCAGTACCTTTAATAATTTAGCAGAATCACCTCAAATTACAGTTTACTTCGTTATCCTTCTCTTTACTAAGCTGCCACTCGTTTTTTTGATGACACACATAGCCAGGAAAACCATACTAAGTGATTAGGAAATTTTGCCAGATGCCACTTAATATACACGAGATTCAGAAGTTTAAAAGTCTTGGTGATTTAAAGGATATTTTATTCCAAATTTGGCTTTCCCTCCCATGTGAAACCAATTTCCTTTGTCCCCAAGGTAAACAAAATCAGCATCTAACTGTACGACCCAAATGATATACATTGACCTTAATTGCCTTTTTTTAAAAAAACATCTATGAAATGCATAGATTCTCAACCCTCAACAGTGTAAGTTACTGTATATACTGTTCGGCATTTTTATACTCCTACTTACCTTTCTGTGTTTTTGACCAATCAGGTGAGCATTCCAAGCAGAGTCACTATTGCATGTTACTAAACACACCTGTTAAAACAGAGAAGTAAAGTCTTACACCCATAGCAGTAAAATTCCCCTGTTTGGCACATGCAGGCATTAGCTGCCAAAGAAAGTATCATAAGAAACCTATCAGAATTCAAAGGTGAAATGAAAGGAGTTTGTATGAAGAAGAGTCACAAATGCACCTGAAAGTCCTTTTGCCCAAAGTCATGTCACCTGAAACCAGAGTCATGTGACCCAAAGTTTTTGTCAAGTTGCTCAAAATCCTAAGACATGTCACCCAATTTTTATCACAAGTAAAAACATCAACATGGTATATTTATAGAAAGCGGTAAAGGTACTGATTGATTGAACAACCCTTTGTATTAACTTACATTACACAACTTTCAATAGTGAAAGTTCACTGTAAATATGACCTAATTCCAAAACTTTCGAGGTGACTAAAAACTTAGGACGACATGACTCTGGTTGCAGGTGACACGAGTTCGAGTGACATGACTTAAGGGCTAATTGACAATAAACCGGACAGATCTTTACCTGACAATTGTACTGAGGAGGGGGCTTTTTTTCCTCTTTCTCCTCTAGTCTCTTTGGAATCTTGATATTAAATTCTTCAATTGCACGCTTTATGTGTCGTGGACTCATGCAATGATACTGGTAAGCCTGTAATAAACGAGAAAATTGAACTGAAAACAGACATTTTGTCTAGACTTTGCGGATATTGAAAGTGGACTGCACAAGGGATTATCATTAAATGCATTGAGCGAATTGTACGGCATTGAAACCAATCAAGAGCAAGTTTCACCAACCTCCGAACAGTCTGCAGTGTAGTCACATAGTTTACATAAGTAAGGTATTGCTTTATCTGTGTTGATCCATTGATGTCGTGGATCGACTCTCTTCATCCGCGTTTCTGGTGGACCGGGCTGAATCAGCTCAGGCGGTTCGGCGCTTGCAAAGTCACCATAAGGATTCTGTTCTTTACCTTCCGAGACTTCTTGTTTTGCATCATTGGGCGGAACAACCTGGTTAGGATCTCCATCAGAAACAATTTCCTCACCTGCGTTGGTCGCCATATTGGTCGCCATAGTCCCATAATGCATTTCGTGCAGCAAATGGGGACGATTCTCGTACGCAACCTAAGGGGAATGGGTCAAAGTTTAAGCTTACCTCTTACCCCAGCAGGAACGCGGATTAAGTCACTCTTGTCCGAAGTGGAAAGCTCACTCTTCAAAGTAAATTAATTAAATAGAAGTATAAAGACAAGAAAAATAGTTTAACAGTAAAAGTTTTGCTTCATTGTGTAAGTACTAAAAAAAACAATTCTCGAACCATTTTTTTTAGCCTCATTAGAAAAAGCCTTATTCTAACAGTATGACAATCCGTTTGATCGACTAGAATGTGATTTTCAACACGCACTATGAAGCTTGAATGCTAATGTGCTTTATTGGGAAAAATTACATTATCATGCGGCGTAGTACAAAAATAAATGTCTTGGGAAGTTGCTCCCAAAATTATGCAATAAGATACAAAAAAAACCAGTCATGAACAACACACGGTGGTCAAACGTCTGCGCACGTTCGAACACATTTAAGAACGCGTTTTCAGGATGTCAGTAACAAGTTGTCTTACGAGAGTTAAAAAAAACAACCACAGAAGTGAGCAAGTCGCGGTGCTTGAAAACCGTCTAACCCTTGGGGTAAAACTCAAAACAAAATTGTAAATAAACATGAAATCTGTGATTAAATAAGCTTTGTGTACGCAAAGTCTTGTGTTTTCCATTTCCCTATTTTTGTTGCCTTTTACAAATTCCAATGAACGTTTTGATATTTCTTGGCATATTCTGGGTGACAACGGTTACTTCTAATGTTTTCTGCAGCTGGCCAAAATTGACCCCCCTGCACATGCCCTAAATGACTTGGTCACTCGCCATTTACAACGCTTGACCAGGATGCAAATGCCTACTTTGAATTTCTTTTGTCTCCCCCCCCCCCTTGTAATATCTACTTTTTTTCGAATTAGCAGCTGTCAGTTACACTGTTTCTGGTTTTATAACACTCAATCGAGAAACGCGTTGCTTGAAGGAAAATACCAAGCTCTAAACGTACTTCACGGTGGCTCTTTTTTTATTGACGATACAGCAGTGTAGTTTATTCACATCATCTGGGGCCCTTTCCTCGAAAGTCTCGTTAACTTAACCGGTCCTCAGTAATATTTATCGAGGAACAGTCGATCCCAGGTAAGCGGTGCTTCAGTACAAGTCGGGAAATTTCCTTGTTTTTGGTTATTTCATTACCATTTACAGGTATCGTTCTGTATTTGTAAATCAGAAGATCTGTTTTGCTGAATCGGTCACTAAGACTGCAAAACTGTTGATTTAATGGATGGAAAACGATTAAAACGACGCCCATCTGAGACTGGGCTGTCTGTGTGTTTTGTTTCCGTCCCAGTGTCACCTCCTTCGTCTTTTGACATAAACCTGTGGACAGCTTTAACAATCTTTCCCTTATTTTTGTTCTCCGCTTCCTCGTCAACTTCTTCTATTTCAAATCCTACATTGTCGCTCACAGCTGCTCGCATAGATGGCATATCCACACCACCCACGCCTAGTTGTAGCTTGAGCCCAGAAGACTTGCCACCTGCAGCTACTGAATTCACGCCACTACCCAAATCATTCAAGGATAGAAGCATGGTGATGCAGCAGGTTGCGGAACACTGCGGGTTTTTGCGCCACATCATAAAGTTGTGTAGCAATACAGCAAGATAGCGACCTGTTGAAAACAAGAAAGCAAGCACTTAATTGTAAGCGAGGATGTTTTAGTTCTAAGTTCTACGAGCCAATAGAAAGGCGAATGAGAGTACGAACGGATGCACTTAAATGAACTCAAGAAAGAAAAACACACACAAAAACAACAAACGAAAGCAAAAACAAAAAAAGAACAACGGACGAATAAAAAAAACCCAGAATAAAATGGTGAGCTAGCGTGGATAGAGCCAATTTATAAAGCTTCACTGAAATTCAACATACCCACAACAAGCAAAATAACCAAAATGTTTGCTCCAACAACGAGAATGTTCACCAGCAATGAATCGACATGTTGATCCACATCGGAAGGGACAGATTCTTTTGGGATCTTCAAAATCACTCCAATACCGAGATTGAGAAATATCACAAGGAGAGATGTCAGCTGCAGTTTGTCCTCAAATTCGTCCCTGATTGGCTTGCGGAAGGCATAAACAATAGCAAACAATCCGGAACAGATCGAGGCCAGACCAACATAAGCTCTGCTCTCACGCCCAATCAGAATAATCCCACAAGTCAACACGAGCTTCCGTATCACCTCTACAAGTTCCCAGTACCATGCGTCATCGTTGTAGTTCTCGTAAAGGAAGCTCATTCCTGAGATTAGCTCTGATTCGTCAATTGACCCCTCTACGATACAAAGAAAGCAATACTTGCAGGAAGAACTTTGAACAGTGAAAGCGTAAGTCTAGTGGAAACAACATACTAGCCGACATATCGTTACATCAAATTCATTTATCTATGTTAAATAATGGAACCAAACTTTTTGAGGTAATTTTGCTTTTGTTTTCATAGTAAAGTAGTTCCATGGTTCCTCTGATGCCCTCAAATTATTTATGACACATCAAATTTGACTGCAGTCGAAATTGGGGTTGTAAACGATTCTTACGCTTTCAAGATCGTCCAGCTGTCGCGGCTGATCGAGTTCAAGACCTGAAGTTAAGTTTGTTATGGTTAATGAAATACCCTGTAAGGAAACGTTTAACTGCTTTGACATCGTCAGGAAATAGAACGAACGACACAACTCCAGCAAGTATAAAACTTAAGTACAGGTTTTTTGTAGTTCTGAGTAATTTTTCATCTTTTTTTTAATTACTTTGCATTCTTTTCTGTCAATAAATCTACACAACTTCCCTTCAGATTCTAACCGCTGAAGGAGGCCGCGGCCCTATCTTCCCGCCCCCCCGGCCGAGAACTCAATCTCACCTTCACCATTTTCAACTGCCAGAACTTGCTTTCTCCTACGTCTCCACAAAGCCACAAAGATAAGCGCTGGAAGGAGAACAATGTAAGACGAAGCAACGAAGGCAAACAGTGTGAAAAACTCGTACTTTTTACCCTCGCACTCGACGCTGTAGTCTGCTTTAAGGTAGAACTTGCAGGACATTTCAGTGCACAGCTTGTGGCAAGCGACTGGGAGGGTCCTTAATATCGCCGAACTAGTGCTTGGGTAAGTTATGAAGAGATATAGAAATACGTTACGATACAGGAACTCTTTCGTTGCGGATAGAGAATCCTTCACTTCTAAAGACTCTGATGTTGGTTTTCTTAAGAGAAAAAGTTTCTTTATCCAATAGCAACCGAACGCAAGAAACATTACGCAAAAATTACTACCGAAAATCACGTACATTTTGCTAAAAGCATCTTGCTTCCAGGATGGAAATAAGCAATGAAGAGGTACAAACTGCAGGACGTTTAGCTGGATTACTTCTGCATAATCACCGATCATAGACAAAGATGATGGCCACTTTACATAGACAAAAGCCTCAACTATCCCGGATGTGACCTGATAGAAGCCAATCACAATCTTTAGCCTGGCTAACAAGATGTCAACCAAAGGACGTTTTTCCTTGGATTTTTCTCTCCTACCACTCCAAATAAGAATACCTATGAGCAAAACAACACCCCCTCCTAAAAGGCACAGCTGCACGATGACCCAGGTACTGGACGGACAAGACTTACATGAGAGGACCCGTTTATAGAATCCATCCTCGCACACCTCACACAAGGGACCTGTATACCCTTTGGCACATTTCGACTCCAGTCCTCCCAGGCATGCTACAACCTGGGGACACTGGTATGGAATCGGAAGGGTTCCGTTATAAGAGGTGGAATTTCTGAGGTAAGTGTCGTTTTCGATTTTTAGATTTTTGGCAAAAGCTTCATAGGCGCGCCTGTTCATTTGAGAATTCCATTGCCAGTAATATCCTTTCTTTAGTGAAACTGATTCATTCAGACAATCTAGGCCTTTGGAGGGACAACTCTCACAGGGACCAAATCGATCGTTGCGGTGGAATCCCTTAATACATTTACAGGCTCTGTGGCCGGAGTGAAGATTTGTCCTAGTACCTACAAATAGACAATAGCAGATCATCAGAGCTATTAATTTAACACTATACCCTGTTCTTAAGTTTTCCCCACTCTAATTTTAAATCAAACTCGGCACTGTGAGGGTGAAGTGAAAAGTGAGGAAACCTCTGAGAATCAGTATCACAGTAGTTAAAATATAAAATATCTGTAAAGTAAATAATGGCTCTGCGTCGACTCTTTCTCTTTCCTTGACTTATTCCTCTGTGGTTAGTATCCAAATATATCTTCAGTCGAGAATCACTTCACCTGTGGGGCACACTTCGCAGTCCAGGACTTTTTTCCCCGGCGCATTCTCCGGGGGAACATACGTTCCCAGGTTACATCGCAAGCATTCTTCGGCGACGGTTGCCACACTATCAGAATAAAAACCACCTAAAATGAAAACGTTTCGTTAAGAATTGGGAGGAAATTAACATCAGAGCCCACAAACTGACTAAAATAGAGAACTGGGAGAATTCAAACTTTCCAGGGATCTGAACAAGACTGGTAAGGTCAAATGCCACTTGACATGCAAAATCTATTGTAAACAAAAATCTAGCAGAGTCGCAAGCTAACACTTGTCTCTCTGTGCAATGTGACATGGAACATTTCGAAAGTTTGCGGAAATTGCACCTCCCCACACAATTAGCTTCTCCATCGATTAATAATGATAATAAGATCGAGTGGAGTCCAATTCGATCTGTGATCATACGAGTGATTAACAAAATAGGACGACCGCGAAGCGGGAGTCCGATTTGTTTATCACGGGTATGATTACTGACAGAATTGGACGACAATAAATCCTGTTACCAATTAATCATAACCATTTCAATTTCCGAACAAACAAATACACCTAGAACAAATGTCTCCGGTGGAGACAATGTCTTTAGTTAATATTTCTCCATTTTGGAAATTGCTTTGTTTTTCTTTGGATAAGTGGTTGTCGCTATGGTTATTGTGATCAATTCTGTGATGATTGGCTGCTTCAACTTTTCGATTACAGGTGTCCGATTACAGCCAACTGTCCGATTACAACTGTACAGAATGATTTGTGAAAAATGAAGCAGCTGATGCACCAATCACATTTGAGGAAATTGTAATAGTTATGATCTATTGAGGTACCGTAACAGACAAGACGCCGAACATGATATGAAATAGCCTGCGAGGAAGCCTCATTATCAGCACTTGGGGATGCACGTTTCTCCGCCCGCGAGAAGATTAGAGACGAGTCAGGAAGAGGTTTTCTGGGGGCCTGGCGATAATGTTACTGATAATGTATACCGTACCGCTAAAATTACTCCACGCAGGTAAAATACTCCGTACAAAGAACTCTATTGGTGATATGCCGCCAACTTGGAATCTGCATAATTTAGTTTAAATAGTTTCACGTCTTCGAATTCTGTGTTTATTCGTTTCATAGTGCTAATTTATTCATTTTGTATATCACCCTCGTATTTATATATTTAGGAATCAGATTATGAAAACCATAAGTCTTCCATGGTAGCACGTTGTCTCAACTCCACAACAGAGCTGGACGTCGTGTAGACTTCTCGCCGGTTCGCGTAGCCTAAGGCCTCGTACTTTCCTGTGGGCGAAGAAACACTCGTGCCAAAACGCTGATAATAAAGGCCTGGCCGCAGGCTAGATATGAAGATGCATTAGCTATATCATGTTTATCGCAGGATTTTGCTTTTAAGCAAAGGGAATAACCAGAAGAAACATAGTTTCTTGACGAACAATAGCTTTCATGCACCTTGATCTCTCTTGTAAGCAATATATCAATGTTATTTAGAAAATATTGGCGCTTCACATACTCCACTGGCATGAAAAGGTTCGCTGTGCTGTGACAGGGTCGTGATAGCACCTCTTCGTGACCTACCTGGAGGGCAAGGAATACACTTTGCCATCATAGCTGCACCGTACTGAAAGTTTTTAAGATGAGGAACGAAAGTGCCTGTCGGACAGGGTGCTCTGTACGTCTGATTCCCGTCGGCAAAACCAGCTTCGGTCAGAGCGACGAAGAGAGCTTTTTGGTCTGCTGAAACACCCTCAGTTGCGTGTTGTGGTGAACTTTAAAATTGTGAAAGAGGCAAAAACAGAAATGTTCAGTTTCCATAGCATTGTCGTCCACAAAGGAGGAGTTCTTTTGTAGCACCAAACAAATTTTAATATTTTCAAGCTAACGTCTCCTCCTTTACAATATGTAAAAAAAACCCTTCAGAAGAGGTGATATTGTTTTTTAAAATATGCAGTTATAAAATTTTGCAAATTTAAAAAACAAGAAACAACGTTATTGCGCTAATCTTTTCTGCCGTAGAGTGCTCCATTATCTGGATCTTCACTCTAACTTTCAGACAACAGAATTAAATACAATATGAGGATTCCTTTCAAGTGCTATTAAATGTATATATTAAACCAATAAACATTTCATTTAATAAACTCAAATTTATTTCCTTACATATATGTTTTAAGTCTCTTTTGTCCCTCAAATGCTTTCATGTTTAGTTTTTCCATTTTAGTATTCATCAGATATCTAGAAAGAAGATTGATTTCATTATTTCTAGGGTCATTGTGCGAGTCGTTACTCTTCTTATGACTGTTGACGAGTTGTCTGTAAAACCGAACTGACAAAGGATTTCAAATAAAAACTTGGTTCTAGAATGATAAGCAACAAGGCCCAACATTTTTTGTCTGGGAGGGTTGGGAGGGAGGGGAACGCATCAAAAAGGATCGGAGGGGAGGGGGGGAATTGAGAAACGTGCACGATATCTTCAACTTACATTATCTTCAGACTGGAATTCGCTATTGTAAAGGCATTTTGCAGCAATGTTGTAATTGGATTGTTCGCAAGATTTCTGAAAGTAAAACATATTCACATGAATGGTAGTTAGAAATGAGTAATTTTAATCATTTAAAACCAAATCAATTTACTTTCGCGGTAGACATAACATGAACAAAAGACTATTTTTCATTTTATTTTCCACAATTCCGTTCCAGAAATGAAGAAATTAGGATGCGAAAGCAAAGAGACCAGGTAGAGCGCAGCTCAAATGTCTCATCCCAGTCCCTACTCATGCCCTGCGATTCGCGAGGATATAGACTTCAAGGTCCGCTTGGCGATTCTCAGTTAAGGGCGAAGGTCACACGAGGACGAGGAACGGATTTAGGCGAGAGGAGGAGCCGGCAAACAGGATTAGAAAATCAGTCGCAGACGAATCAACTATTTGACGTATATCTGCAGCTTAGAACTTACATCAGCATAAGCGAAGAAAGGCTCTTGAAGGTCCCTGAATCCACACTCGTAATTTTGTTATCACTTAGAAATCTGTTGATGAAATGAAATGACTCAAAATTACTTAAATCATCAAGTCTCAATTAAACTTAACGGATTTGAAACCTCCATGATGAAGTAGCCACCAGCACTAATGATTAGTTAATGTGAGCACAGTAACTGTCCAAAGATCTGGGTACAAGTAGTCTCCGCAATCAACTTTCAAAATTTAATCGTCACGCGATGTCTTTAATAGAGACATTTGATGTCTACAAAGTGAAAGTTTTTTCCTGATCAAATTTGAATTAATACCCTTCTAAAAATACTATAAGGCACATTTAGGCTCCAGGGCATGCTTTGAAAAAATGACGTCATAAATACATCAATAAGGGCCTTTTAAATCCAGGCACAAAATTGCAACTGAAACGTGAAGCGTTTTTTCTGTGCACGCACGCTTCCATCAAGTTCTTTATCCCTTGAATCTGTTTCTTATTTATCCTATCGAAGAAATATAACGTGAAAATATCGAAATGTGACCAGTTTTCAATAGATTCACTTACAGATATTTAAGGGACGTCAGTTTACCGAGCACGCCGCTGGACAAAGACGCGATATAGTTGTTTGACAGAAACCTGTCAATGGAAGAAATTAAATTGTTTACATCTCAAGAAGGTCAATCGCATGGTATTTTTTTGTCAGGGCTTCTCCACGCTTCCAGTCACCGTAAAATAAGGAAAAGAGAATAACTTTCTTCCTTTCTGATCATTCTGAAAGAAAATAAAACACTAGACAAGAAACCCTATAACGCGATCTGCAATCCCAGGTTATAGGTTTAGGTTATCAGTACTTTTGGAGCTCTTTTTCGATTGAGTGTCGTAAAACTACTACCAAAGTTATCATAACAGCCAATCAGAGCCAATCAGAGGAGAAGTAAAAATCCCAGCGAGAACTCAAAGAAAACTAGCCGAACGACCTAACACGCGGGAAAACGCGGGCGACCAAATCGTGATTGGTTTTAGTTTTGCTTCTGATTGGTCGAGAGGGTGGTGCGAGTTTTCAGGACCAATCACAGAACGAAGTAAAGCTAAATCAATGCAATCCTGGTTTACTTTTGACACTCTATTGAAAATTGTTCTAAGAGCAAATACTTACAAAATAACAAGAGAACTTTCAAGTCCGGAAAATGATCCGTCTTCCAATGCAGCGATCTCATTCCTGGCTAGGAATCTGCGAGAAGAAGTCGAACGGAAACTGATTAAGCATATTTCTTTTAGTACCCTCTAGGGAAGAGGGCTTTCAAAGAGAGCATGAAGTGTGAAGAGCCTAGCCTCGAAAAAGGAATATGTGCATAGAACTGAAGCCGTGAATGCCAAAAACAAGATATTCCGCATTTCAAAATATTTTTGTGGCGGATGAATACAAGGAAAAATGTTACAGGATAGTGCAGTTGACTTACAATTCTTCCAAGTTGGAGTTATCCCGAAAAGTTCCGTTTTTCAGCAGAGTAATTCGATTCTTTGATAAATACCTGCAAAACGAACATCTAAACTTAATTACGCAACACTCTTTGGAGTAACAAAATTGTCCTTTCAAATGGAGAAGTATGTTTAATAAAGTTAATTTAACTGACAAAATAATTACATTTTTGTGACTTTGAAAAGTGAATTCTAAAACTAAAAAATGTGAAAATGTTCCAAGTGATGGCCGCCTGTGTGCATTTATTATTGAGTCGACTCACAGTTTTTTAACGAGCTTCAAGGATGCAAATGCTGAAGTCTGTAGAGCCTCTATCACGTTATCTGTAAGACCACTGTGCAAAAATAAAAAGTGTTAGACTTTGAATTGATTTCTAAGCATGATTATTCGAATCGATAAGCGAGAGTTCTTTTAACTTACATTTCCGTCACACCTGCCGGAATTTCTTGCGGAACAGAGCTTAAATTTGAAGATTTACAATCCACTTTAAATACACCAGTTTCAGAGACGCATCTACAAGACTTTGGACACTCTGTAAACCAAGGAAGATTTTGAATTAAAGCCAAATATTGATAAAACACCACAAGCAGAAAAAATCAAGTAGTTCACTCACGTTTAGAGCGTTAGCCCTTCGTCAGAGCGAATGGAGGAATTGTGGGTTGGGTAGTGTGGTGTGAATATAGTGACGAAAAAACAAGAATAAATTGTAATAAACTGCTTAATCGTTTGTCTCACGATTAAAGACAACACGACCGCCTTTCTCGACACGTCAGTTACGAGAGACGCCAGACCACCAGTGTCTACAGAAAACCCACTCACACTGATCATTACTTAGCGTATGATTTACACCACCCAAAGCGTATGAAAAGAAAATCATCAGTCATCTCCGAGGAAAAGAAACATTTGTCATCAATTCTTGTTTCCGCCAATCGTTTTAGATCACCGTGATACAAATGGTAACGCGTGAGCAGTCGACCCCATCGCCTGATGAAGACTAGCAGTAAGCAGTCGAAACGTCGCGATCTACATCTCAAGTGACAACATCGTGGAACAAACGATTAAACAGTTTACTATTATTTACTACCACAATGAGAAATAACCTCTTTTACGATATTAAGAAGAAATTGGTTGAATGAAAAGCACCCGTTGATACCGTAGGGATTAAGAGGGCCGATTTGGAAGATAAATTTTTGTTCTAAGGTTATGCAGCTTACCGAACCGCCAATGTAAAGAGAAAGGCCGCAAACTGCCATATGCTGCTTAGAATGATTAGTAAGGTTAAATTGTCTAGCAACTGGTTCGGATGCTTCCTTGACATTTCTTTCTACGTCGTGAAGTTGTTCTCGGAATCGATCACCTAGTCGTCTTTCTGTTTCACCAATGAATAACTTTTTGAAATAAGTGCAAGTTATGCAGTAAATGACATTGGCGGAGGTGCACGTGATCAGTAATCTTATGGATCTCTTGGGTCCCGACACTTTCTCTACGTTATGAATGAAAGGAAATGTTTTGCGTCGTGAGCGAGGATGATAGACTTAACTGCGGGGTTGTGAAGGTGAAATGTGACAATGAATGGAATGTGATCGGTACTTTCCTTCTGCGCGATATCTACAGCTGTAGCTGGCTATGAACCGTTTGGTGGTTTCGCGTGTGCGGCCAGGTTACTCTCTGTTTTCAAAATGGCCACCGTGCCCCGCTCACAGATCACCTGTATTCTTTACTTTAGCAAATCTTTTAATAATTATAGCCATAATCATCTCTTTCTTTTCTCGGCTTAACGCGAAGTTATTCCAAGGAATGCAAAAATTCAATACCAACCTGCAACATCAACGTTGGCCGTTGCAACATCAGTGTCGTTCTGTGAGTTGTTGGCTTTACAAGTGTACACACCCTCATCAAGTTGTGAAACGTTTTTTAGCTCTAAAGCTGCAGTTCTTGAACCTTTAACCAACACTTTTCCATTTCGTTTCCAAGTAACATCAGCAGCAGGGACGCCTTTTGACCAACAGTTTAGTTTTACGTCTGCACCAATAGGTACCGACTGTGATTCGCTGATAAACATTATACTCGCAGGCACTGGTTATTTTGCGTCGGTGAAAGAAAAAAAAATATATATCCATATGTATATAGTTTAGGAAAGACTTATCAAAAAATGGTTACCTAAGGCTTCCACTAATGCGTTTTGTTCAAAAGTGCTTAGTTTTCGCTGCGAAGCCGGAAAGCAGAGGCTTTTGACAGCGATGATGAAAATGCGTCACATACTGTGCGTCTTTGGTGTTTTCGTATGGACGATGACGAAAACGCAGTAGAGTGGCATGAAAACTTTGAGGTTTATCAATTTTGCGTAGTTTTTTGCATTTCTTTCGAGTTACCTTAAGCAAAAAAATTTCGCCAAATAGAACGGCACAAACATTTACCACCTAAAATTCAATATAAGACTCTAGAGGAGGGCGAGTGGCAAAACAAGCTTTTTATTACTTTTTTGTTGTGTCACCCCTTCTGGAGGAATAAGTTAATACCTTCGAGGATCTCATTTGATTTCGGTGAAATAAATAATTCTATAACTTGACAAGGCATCTAGGTTGAAAAGCGTTGTTAATGTTAGAAATTTTTCCAATACCTCCCTTGGTATAGTTTTGTGGCTCGAGCAGGAAATTGCAAAAGATAAATCTAAAAAGCAATTTTTGCCATCACGAACTCGACAAATTTATTTTTGCTCAAAAAAACAAAAACTTCCATTTCGCAATGTAAAAATAAAAAAAAACGTCCAATTTAATTTTAAACGGTCTTTATGATCCACAAATTAGACGATCATTTCGAATTTCCATTATTGTGGTAAATTTGTATTCCTCTCTTCACGCAAATCAACAAAGGCGGAAATCAGGTAGGAATTGATACTGTACAATGCTATAGATAGATTCTGATAAATATCCTGAAGAAAGCATAACTTATCCTCTTATACAACAGTTCTGCCGTCCAATCACTGGCGTTAAAATTGTTCAAAAAAAATCACAGCCTCAGAAATTGAAGTGCTTTATCTGTATTACTTTGTTAGTGATTTTTTCCGAGAAAGTTGTTTCACAGATTTTTAAAAATCATCTGTTAAGTTTTTAATTTGTAGGAAGTGTTACCCACACTTTCATGCTTTACAGGCCTATTTTTCTCTAAAAGCAGACAACTCGGCCGAGTCCTTCACATTCTTTTTCATAAACATATGACCTCTACAAGGAAATTTTTCTCAACGAAATTCCTATATTTGGATATGAAAGTAAAAACTGAAATGATCACATGAAAATACAACGTACTTACCCTTGGTGTTCGTAAACTCAACAGTTACATTGAAGCCTTCAAATTGCATGACGTAATCACTGGTAAATACGACAGTCATTTTGGAAGTGGTGGATTGCAACGGTGGAGGAATGTCAAAGCCACAGAACGATCCCAAAAGTGTCTTATTAGACCCTGCGTTGTCATAGACTTTAACACTGTCGAAACCACAAGACGTATGGTACTCCACCCTAAACGCTTGAAACTGCAGTTTGATGAAGTGGTATTTCTCTGACAAGTTTTCCGGAATCTGGATTGTCCATTGACAATTGGCTCTTGCAGGATATTTATACGGGAAGTTAGGGGAATGAAATGAACCCTCTTTACTAAGTGTTTGAGGGTCACATTTGAAGACCGAATACGTTGTATGACTTGTGTGACTTGTGTAACTTGTGACTGAAACAATAAAAACTGTTCGCGTGAGCCTGGTTAACTAGGCTGTCCAAGATTCCAGGATCTTACCTGGAAGCTTTTGGAAATATCTATTATTTTGTTAAAGGACAGTGATAAAGATAAAAGTAACGACAACAATAAAGGTAATGATAACGACAATAATACTGATAACGATGATAATGATAACGACGACGATGATGATGATAATCAGTGATAATGATGAAGATGATGATGATAATGATGATGAAGATGATGATAGTAACAACGGCAACGGAAACGGAACTGAAACGATAACGACAACGACAACGGCAACGATCACGAGAGCGACGATGGTAACGATGACGTTAATGATAATGGTAACGATAACGGAAACGGAAACGGAAATAATAATAATGAAAATGATATATACAGTGATTATAAACGTGATTATGATAATGCTGATCAGTGATAACTGACAACAATGTTAATGACTTTGACGACTCTGACAGTGATATGAAAGTTGATAATGGTAATGAAATGATAATGATCGTGATGGCGAAGGCAATGGTGATGATAATAACAAAAAATCCGTCGAAATCCGACTGAATGACACCCCGGCAAGTTCCCAATCAAAGAGCGCGTTGTATCGATGACAAAACTCACTAGCCAAACAACGATGAACTCAGTGCTTGTTAGTTTCTATCAGTATTTCATTCATGTTTGTCTCACCGGTATACGCCAAAGTTGTTGCTGGTGACTTTGTCACTGGCGGTGGCGTTGAACTTCCTGAAAACCAAAACACAGTAGCATAGGTCAATTTTATCTGCCGAATTATGTACGATGATGGAAAAATAGTTGACAGAATATTTGTCATGATATTTTTTTCCCATTGCAACTATAATTATTATCACTTTCTAGGGCATTTTGGGGCATTCAGCAGGCTTAAATGGAGAATTTTGCGGGGCAAAATGTATTTTAGCCCGCTGAAATAAATTAATGAAAAGTAAGAATCAAACAACCGTACAATAAAAAGAGCCAATTAAAATCGAGAAGCCATCGCTATGTTAACGCCGTTTTCTTGCAGCGTTGATGAAAGAAATTAAAGCAAATTTGCGCCATTGCGAAGCATAACAGCGAATAAGACTTGATATCGGCTACATAAAGGATTTCTCAGCCGCACAGAAACACGCTTCGGGCATTCTTAGCCGTCCATTTCTGTCTTTAAAACCCGTAGAAGTTCTGTGGCCAGTGGCAAAGTGCACGTAAGTTTTGCAGCTTCAAGCCGAGCGCACTCAGTTCAATCAGCAATTGTGCAGTTAATTTTAACAGCTTTATCGAATATTCCTTTAAGAGGTTTTGAAAATTCAAATGGCGAGATTTTGTAATTTCTCACCAGCTTCGCTTGTTGGTGTATTTTCATTGAAGGAAAATAAAAGCTGTTTCAAAACTTGTAGACGCTCGTGTGATTGTTAAGGCTGTTTCGATGCAATTTTTTCATTTTTATTTTCTCAATGTCCTCTAAAGCGAAAACGATAAGATAGTTCATGTATAAACGGGCATAAATATGTTTTGGGACTTTACGAGAGCTCATTTTAACCCTCGTCTTGCGGTTCGGACTGAAATGAGACTGAGTCTATTGTTATGTTAAACATTGTTTAAATGAAATGAAGTGAATGAGGTTTAGGAGTGACAATCGTGAATTTACAAAATGGTAAGATTTTTACCGTTCAAAATCTCTTTCCCTGTAACTCTGACCAATGTTTCGAAATGGTGTAAATTGTAACGGTTAGGATGGTTTTATTTACGTTAGCAGCTTCTTACCTCCATTTAGGGTTTGAGTTATTGGAGCCGTTGTGCACTGAATTAAGAAAGAAAAATAGCAATTTATTGCAGTTGCTCTGTGTTGGCAGTTGGAAAACACACGAAGGAGGCTTTTCACAAAAACTTTTACATCGTTCCTCTGGAAATACCTTTCGAATGAGGACTTTGAATAAAAAGAGAAACTTTCTGACCGACAAATCTAACGGTTAAAGAAAGATGTTCAACTGAATTGTGATAATTTTAGCGATGAACAAATTAATTAACTTTGAGGAATATACTCTCCACGGTGGGAATTTGTAAATGTTTTGAATCAAATATTAAACAGACACGAAACGGTGATTTTGTTAAGACTTTCTCTTCATTTCTAACTCTTTACTTGACATACCAAAAACGTGCCTTTTTTCTAATCAATTTTATACCAAATTTCACGGATTTTGAGGAGTTGAGAAAATGGAAAAGGTTTTTATGACAAACCCGTAGCAAAATACTGAACTTGAGAATCAACCTTGACCCTTTGAGAGTTAAACTGAATTTGAATCACTATCACTGTTCAAACCTGAATGAAGTTAGGAACGCATTGGAATATAGATGTAACGACCCAAAACCATTTCATCTTCCTCTCTGACAGAGTTTCATTTACCCTTGAATCGAGCATCGGTTATGGAATCGTAACTCCTTCGGTAATCTGGATAAATAATTCATTTTGTCCGGTAATTGATTAAATCACTCCCGCTGGTGTAAGGGCAGCGTGTTGTAATTGGTTGTAATATTCGTAACACCAGCGGGAGTGAATATTCGTAGAAGGAATCATGTCAGGAACTCTTATTCAACAGTCTTCTATTTTTTTGCTATCCACAAGCTCCCTAATTTGACGAACACTAGCCTCAAGATGGTACACACATTTGTATACTAGAAGGATGAACTAGCAGAAGCCACTTGACTCCAAAGCCATTTTAGGCGCACATTGAATAATTTAAGGCTTAACATCGTTGTAACAATTGAATTTGTTGAATAAAAAAATAACTTTCTTAACGTCACCGGCATGAAGTTTTCACTGGAAAAGACGTTGCTCTGCATCATTTTGTAAAAACGAGGCATTTTGTAACAGCCTACGCATTTGTAATAATAGCTACGGCATTTTTTTATAATCGTTGGTCTTCGCGTGACGCAGATTGTGATGACCTCAACTTTGTTACAAAAACGCATAAACAAATAAGAAAAAGTGGTATTTTCGAAATGGTACTAAGCTTCTTTCTGGCATAACCAGATCATAGGGCTACAACTTTGATACGTGGCGTTACTTGCATTCAAAAAGGCGTCTTTTCCGTTACAAATAGCTCACCATCACTCTCTGTCAGTGGGTTCGGCGAGGGGAGGGAGCGCGGGCTCATAATCCCGAACAGCGGCTGGTAATCGAGCCAAACAACCAGGCCCCTGTGCCCATAGAATGGGAAAAACAACACAGCTCGTGACAGAGAAAAAAAGTTTACCCACAAGAATGTTCAACGTTTGTCACAGCTTCCAGTCATTTCCTGCCAAACCCTCCTATGCGTAAAAGATGAAAACAACGATACACAAGCTCTATTTTTTTAATCAAGTCCCCACTAGACTTCACTTCACTTAGCCCTCACAAGATCTGATTGTTAATTCTCCCTCCAGCTACAACACATTTCCTTGTAAATTAGTTACAAGGTTATGGCGTTAGATCAAGGTAACAACTTCTAACTGATCATTTTGAGTATTATCATTGCCTGTTTGCTGGATAATGTTTGGAAATTATAGGGAGAAGTTAAATGCTCATCACTTCTGGAAGTGAACGGGTTAGGGTAATTACACGATATGCGCATTTCTATACAGTACTTCATACTCAATATTAGTCAGGAATATGGTCAATTTATCAGAAGGAAAAGAACACCACGCCTTTACTACAGGCACATGTAAAACCTGTATCCCAACATTTTTCGCTCAAATTTGCTCGGAAGATTATAATTTCCAAACTACCCACTACCCCACCTCATAAAAATGACCCAACAACCCATCCCTCCCCCACCACCAAAAGTTGGCCTGCTCTAAAAAACATCAAGTTGATAGTACTCTCAATTCCCAGCGAACCAAAATCATCACCCGTTAGAGTTCTTCTTTAAACCAGAATAAATTCAAGACGTCCGATATTCAAATATTAAGAAAATAACTCTGGACCTTATTACAACTGCATAATCTTCAAGAATTACCTTAAACTACAATTTACAGAGGTACATTTGCATCATTATTACTTGACCTTACTAATAAGCCTACTAATGATTGTGCTTCACTGCCTTTGTTAAAATAACTCTAAAATAGTTTGCTTTTCTTTTTTTTTAGATAAAACTTACGACAAATAGCAAGCGTTTCCTAAAACATACACATAAATAACGATAAAATTACACACTTAGCAGAAATATACCTTGAAATTCTGTATTTCACAGAAATAAACTCTCACAATGTAGCACATAAATTACATGTGATCTTCTAGGTCTAAAAAAAAGTTAGATGAAAAGCTGCTTGTCTGTGAGTGTGCCACTTTTCGTTTAACTAATACCTGGAAACACAACAGAATAACCAAATTAAAGCAACATTACATAAGAAGTCCATTACAATGAAAGGTTTCAAATTAATTAACACTTAAACTCCCAAGATCTGATTGTTAATTCTCCCTTCTGCCTGCGACACATTCCCTCTAAATTAGTCACAGGAGTTTGGTGTTAGATCACCATCATTACCTCTACATGATAAGTTTGAGTATTCTCATTGTCTGTTTGCTGGATAATGAACAGCATGGATGTTATAGGGAAAAGTTACACGTTAATCACTTTGAGGATTTTAAGGATTAAAGGAACAAAAAAACCCAACTGAGAAGGTGTGAATTTTGCACACTAAGCATGCCATATCTCTCATCATGATGAGGATGAGAGATTCTTTAAAACCACTACATTCAAACACTCCACTTGGAGTTTAATAAACTGAGACATTGCAACAAAATCTTTGTGTAACAGTCAAGGAAATCCTCTCACCTCTGCGTTTTTTCTCTTAGGTATTGGTTTTCTTTTTCAAGCTGGGTAATTTTTGCATCTTTGGCTCTAAGTTGAGTTTCAAGGAAGACTATCTCTTCTCTCTGATCACTGTAAGCAAGTCTCAACTATCAAAGAAAAAATACAAATAAAGAAAAGATCATTGACATCTGTGCATGTATGTGTTTCAGCACCATGTGTACAGGAATAACATTCAGTGACAAGAAATGTAACCTTCCGTGAGCCAGGGTGGAAGGGGTTAAGAGTACACCCATTCTGCTAGATGGGATTCAAGTGCACATCAGTTATCCCCATGGCAATTGATCACATATCCCCAACAGATTGACTGCACCCATTTAGACCCTTGAGTGGAGAGGGATGCTGGCAGAGCAAAGTGGCTTACTCATGAATGCAACAGCTGGAGCATGAATCAGGATTCATGAACAAAGAGCAATAGCAACAAGAGGCCTATGTACATTCAACAAGTATTGATCACTTAAATTATGGTAGCACAACTTACAGTGTCAATATCCCAGTTTGCAAAATCCCCTGAGCGCCTTCTACCTCCTCCACTTGGTCGTCTTTTTTCCAAAGAAGACCCTCTACCATTATCTACTGCTTTTGCTGTGACCTAATTCATGATAAAAAAAAAAAAAACAATAATAATGTTCAAGCTGTCATTCCAACAAACTTATTTGATGGGCTGAATTAGGCATGCATTTTGATTGGTTCTTACTGATCATCTACTGGAGGACAGACACATAGATGATGTCACCATTACCAACACTTTGCTTCTATATCATACAAAATAAATAGATTCCATGATGCTGTGGGTCTGTAAAGTAATATATCACAGATGATGTCAAAATGAGGAACAGTGTAGCACATCAGCAACACATGCAACTGCACCTTGAGTGTTACTTTTTGGTTCTCACCACAAATTTTATGTCAGTGGGAGATGCAGTAGCCTTATGGTCATTGTATTGGACTCTAGGTTGAGAAGTGCAGGTTTGAGTGCAGGCCAGGTCAATGTGTTGTGTTCTTGGGTAAAGCACTTCACTCTCACAGTGCTTCTCTCAGTGCCTCTCTCAATCCAAGATCATAAATGGGTAATGGCAAATTTTTGAAGTCTGAAGAAATGCTGGGGGGAAACCTTGTCATGGACAAGTAATAGATCACAGATGATGTCAAATGTGGTAAGAACATCAGTGACACAGTCAGTTGCACCTCATGTGCCACTTTTTTGTTCTTACCACATTTTGACATCATCTATGATCTATTACTGAACAGATGCACGGCAACTTGGAATCTATTTGTTAAACAGACCCATGTCAACAAGGGATCCATTTGTTAAATATTTAAACTGATAAATTACCTGGATTGGGTCTCTCTGTTTGGTTTCTGGCTTACTTGACACTTCAGTTGCTCGAACATACTGAACTTCACTCTCTCCATTCTGTCCTCTGGTAGACACATGGTTGGTTTCAGGTGAAGTTGGATAACGTTGTTCTTCATTTCTACTGCTAACTCTTACTGGAGACTTTGGTGGTGACTTTGGTGGTGATTCAGAAGTTGGACTTCTACATGAAAGAAAATTATGGAATGAAATTGCAACAATAAGTACAAAACTTTTCAGTCAAGGTACAGCTATGTTTCTCAGTTTTAACTTATTAACACGTACTTGTATACAAAGCAAAACAATAAAAGATTAGGGTCTTTCTATGCAAAAGGCATGAGCAGTATCACAGTTGTAAGAGATTGAAATCTGGTTTCTTTGGCAGAAATGAGCACACAGAACACCTACTTTTCTTAAAGAAAATAGAATCAATTCCTTAAACCTCAGATTTTCTTTCATGGGCAATTCTATATATGTCACTGTTTCAGCAACTGGTAATCATGCATTACAGTTTTACCACAGTTTAAAATTGTTTTAGAAGTCTGCAAAATTGTCATGCTTGTTCAACTAGCAGCTTAATTAATGTCATGTGGAGCATTGCCATGAAGGAAGTTTCTTTAGGTTAAATGTCATTCCTACTTAGAAGATTAAGCAAGTGCTGTCAATTATAATTTGTATATAGCAAAGTTTTGCTCAAATGTAGTGTTTATTGTGTGTTATCATTAGGTGTAATTTGTTTGCTCAAACGAACTTTCTTTTCAGTGAAAAATGTATTTAAAAAATTTTACCACTGAGATTGTGTTACGCGTTACAACCAAAATTGGCTCGATTTTTCATCTTTCACGGGTATTTTCTCAAAGACAGTAATGTGGTTTTCTGATTTTTTGCTTTTACTATAATCAATGAGAACAACTTTACCTGTAAACAAAGATTTGGCTTCAATGAAAATGTAAAACAGAAGAAATCATTGAAAGTTTGCAGTCAACCCCCTATGGGCATGGTGATTGTGCTACTCATCTTTAGAAGTCTGCAAAATTGTCATGCTTGTTCAACTAGCAGCTTAATTAATGTCATGTGGAGCATTGCCATGAAGGAAGTTTCTTTAGGTTAAATGTCATTCCTACTTAGAAGATTAAGCAAGTGCTGTCAATTATTGTCACAATTATAATTTGTATATAGCAATAATGGCATGGTGACAGTTATCATGGTTAGGTTGATTCATTTTTAGAGAACAGTGACTGGTACTTTTCCCTGCAGAACATGATCTGTGATAAGATTAGAAGCAGCTGGCTATGCAAAATTGAAACCAGGTTCCACCCTAGCTTGCTAAAACTGGAATCCAGCATCCTATAGGCTGTTTTTCCCCTCTATTACAGCATACTCTCTCCCTTAGAGGAAAAACAAAGCACAGTGTACCTGACAGCCTGGTATTCTGCTCTTCCAGTTGATGCACGCCTGTCCTCTCTCTCTCGCTGTTCTCTTGTTCTCATATCACGGGTCTCTACCTCTCCATCCAAAAGAGGAAAGTCTTTCAGGAGGTCCATGAGGTTTGGATTTCTATTAAGTCCTTGGTCAATCCATTCACGAGCCCTCATGGAAGGTTTATCTGATGGAGTCAATGGATATAAGTCTCGCTGAAGTACACTGGATTGCTGCAAAAATAAAATACACAAAAAAACTTTTGGATCAACTTAACCATCTCATATTTTATTCCCCACAAAAGTCATGGTCTCATGAAATTGCATTACAGACTGCAATTGCACAAGTGCATACTGATGATTTATGACAAGTATCTTAAATTTTCAAAAAGCATTCTACAGTCTTTCAAAAGAAACCAAAATAACATGAAAAGAAAGGCTTGGTGAAGGAAGTAAATTACTACATAAGTCAGTACAGAAAATCGTATCGTTCTTACCCTTCTTGGAACAGTCATGGCAATTGGTTCCACAAAGTTGTTGTTGTGCAGCTTATAAAACCTATAAATCTCACATGCAGTGACATCAACACCTCTCTTTGGCATGACACCAAAGCCACGTTGAGGTGATGAACTACGGTACTCATTTAGGAAGGTGAAGTATGGCTCAGATTCTGATACTTCATAGTACCTGATATTGCCATCGCCCTGGAAAGAAAATAGTGATATGCATAAGAAATGATTCTTCATTAAAAGAATAGTTATTTAAGAAATAATAAGCATCCCTCCAATATAGATCAAAATAGTCCATTTTACAGTTGTGTGCTTGGTTGCCAAGCCTTTGAACAGGAGTGAGGCTAAGGTTGACCTTGTTATAATACAAACCTTGCTGCTTTTCAAATGCAAATTACTTTGTTATCATGCTAACTAGATACTGGTCTCTGTCACAACCAGGTCACCTTCAGCCTCACTCCAAATTAAAGGCTTGGCAACTGAGTACACAACTGCAAAATGGCCTACTGCACCTATGTCATTCCAAACAACAACATGTGTCATGGTAGAAAAGGGATCCACTGTTTTCATTCTTTTAGCATTTCAAATAAGTACCTTTCACATGCAGGTCAAATATGTTATAAAAACAAGGTACATGCTGTATAATTTATTAAAAATATTTAATATCTCTTTTAAAACAACTAAGGTCTGGTAACTATTGGTATGAGATCTTAAACAAGCACTTATTCCATACAAAGATCCAAGGAGATCTGCTAAGTCCTAATGTTCACAAGGCATTGGTACAATAAGAACTCTCTGGCTACCATGCAGAATTCTCCATCACAATTTTGACCCTTTCACTCCTCAGGGTGACCAACACCCTATTTTTCCTTACAGTATCACTGCTGCACCAAACATTATCATTAAATAAAGGAAGTGATCATGAAATAAAACAGCTCTTGGTCATCAAATAAATTCTCCTTCTCAATACCATAGCAAATGTATAAAAAGTAGAATGGAGAATATGCATAATGATGATTTGGTGCAAAGAATTCATGGCCTGAGCAGCCTGAACTATTTTTCATGCAGATACACATGACGATAACTTTGACAACTACCTTTCCAGCAAGAAAAACAATCCTTGTGTCGTGATCATAATAGGGGAGCAGAACACCTGATGAAGAATCCACACTATCAATTTTGATAGCTTTTTTCAAATTTCTCTGATGGAAGAAAATTACAAAAAAAGTTAATGACGAGTATCTACTATGTCTTTGAATTTTCTAAGAAATGACACCCATTCAGCACATCTACAAAACTAATTAAAAGCTGAGTAGACTAGAAGAGACAGTAAATCTTTGAGATCAGAAAGATCTGAGTCCATTGAGGAATTGGACCATACAAACTAGTTTTCTGTGCTCTGATGCTCTGCCACTCTGCCACAGAAATCCTCAAGATGGACTGTGCCAAACACCCTATGGTGATTTTGGCCTAACGCAACATCAATTTCTATGATATCTCAGATTTTTTCTTTGTCCTATTCTTGTGACAAAAGCAATAGTAATTTTCTTTAATAAAAAGCGTTTGAAATTTCTTACCACATCCCAGATGGCTACTTGTCTCTCGTTCATTCTTGAGAATCCTGTTGTAAAGAGCATGTTCATATCACCAAGAAAAACCACATGAGAGCTCTTATTGCCAGGGTGTCCCAATCCATGCTGAAAAAGCAAAACAATTTTATGAGTTGACATATGAGAGCATAAAAGCCATGTATCTAAGGATAATATTTGTCTCAAAGAATTTTGAAAACAGATATTTCAGAAGGTGGGAGGTGGTGTGGCCCAGTGGTTAGGGCACTGGACTTGTAATCCAGTGGTCCCAGGTTCAAGTCCTCCTCCCTACTGTTCACTGGATTTATTCTTGGTTGCCCAGAGTTCAACTCCATGACTGTACCATGTAAATAACCAGCTGAATTGCCTCCAGCCAGGTGGGATTTTCAAGCATTTTATGTTTAATATTTATTTCTCTCTCCTTCTTAATGTCTGGCCCACAATGTAAACTACTGGGTCCACCGGTAATTGTGATGGCCATTAAAGTCTATTTTTTTTTTAAGAAGTGGAGGCCAGTGTTGTTTGGTAGACTTTCAAGAAATTTAGATGTTCTTATTTCCATGGTCATACTTGTACCACAAGTGTGCCAATAGTATTCTACCTATGTGATGGATGCATTTTTTTGGAACATAAACTTGTTGTTAATATGGACAAGACAAGAATGAATATATCCAGATTGCATCATTTCCTCCTTTCAGATAAACAGGACAAAATATTTGTTTCTGTGAAAAGGTCATTAAGTAAGACATTTTGTCAATGGTTTCAAAATACTGACAGATCCCTGAAATACATCTAGATCCAATAGGATGTTCCAAAAATGTTTAATGACATTTCCTGGTGTTGTCCATAAGCTACAACTCAGCTTAGAAAAGATAAATATTTACAGAAGACACCAAGAGTTTTTTGGGGCAGGGCAATATTATACTTTATCACAACTTTAGACCACTTTTAGCCTGATTTATTGGTCCACCTGAAGAAACTAACATAATCAGAATCTTACATCCCTGAAAAATTTGTAGTATACAAAAACGATAGTACCTACCGCTGCAAGTCTTCCAGCTCTGGGATCTATAACTCGTATCTTCTTGTCTTTACAAGTGGAAGCCAGTAAACTACCATTGTAATTGAAAGACAGTGAAAAAATTGTATCAGGATGTCCCTTGAGTATTGTTGCAGCTTCTCTGTCATCCACAATATCCCAAATTCTAACTTCATTGTCATACCCAGCACTAGCAATGACCCCTTCAGCACAAGGATGCCATCGAATAATATTGACCTTACGAGAGTGCCCCCTTAAATCAACTAAATGTTCATCAAGGTCCATTGATAGGCCATCTTCAGGAATATGCCATACTTTGATTGAACCATCCTCAGCACTGGAAGCTATTTGTTGGTCATTAAAAGGGTTCCATTGAATATCAAGAACAGGCCGCCCATGTCCAGTTACTTTTGGGGCATCTATAGGAACACGACCAACCTGTCGCATAGCAGAAATAAGAACAATCTAAGTATTCATTTTTAAAATTACTTCACAAAATATGATATCATTCATAAATGGTAGCAGAAGTTAGAGTGATTAGAGGGGCAATACACTAAAGGACCAGCTTAATTCCAAGAGCTGACTTTTTCTTTTTAAGTTGCTGCACCTCATTTGCCACTGTTTTGTTCTTCCCACATTTTGATGTCATCTGAGATGTATTTCTGAACAGCTACAAAAATCTATTTACTTTTCCTTAAATATATATATATATATATATTCAAAATTACTTTCAAAATATATTTCTAAGTGCTCTAGTGGAGGGCTAAATGTCTAATCCACTAAGACTGTTGTCTGTGCTGACTCTAGGATCAATTTCATCTCAAAAGGCAGACAGCTTTGTGGAGTGTCAATTTCCATTTGCATCAAATTATACTGCCTTCTAAGTGGAACCCAACAAAAAATAATGTATTGGTTAACCACACATGAATCAATATTAATTGTTTGTAATATGACAGCACAAATATCAAAACACAGAAGAATAACTATCAGAAATCTGGGAGTTAAAACAGTATTGCTTATGTTAGTGTCTTAGACAGTCTTAACCTTTTACAGCATAACCATGGGAGTTACTTTCCTCACATGATCTTTAAGTATTTTTTATCTCCATGACCTGAAATAGGTCAGGCTTTTTTTTTCATTGAATTTTAAAGCTTAGTTCATTTCCTTGTCTAAAGTATGCAAGAATGCATTTCTAATTTACATATGTGCCCTTGCACAAATGAAGCTTTAGCCTCAGACTAAATTTAGCTATTCTAAACTCCCAGACATCTCATTGTTACTCCTGACATTGTGATGACACAAACTATCTTTGTGATCTCTCAACTTGACGCAAGTATTCAGAGCCTATCTCTAAGAATCATTCAAAAACATTTGGCCGATCAGCTTGAGAAACTAAACTAGCGACGACTTAATTTTCGTGGCTCAACAATGGAGCTTTTTTTTAATTGTTTATTCATGTTTGCGCAATTAAAACTCTGTAAATTAAAGAAGCTTGTAAAGTTAACAAAAGTTGACGTTACATTGCCTCTGAAAATAACTATTTGAAGACTTCTTGGTATTGTCACTTAAAGGGTTCGAATGGCAAGAAATCGCGAAAGAGTAAACTTTATCATACATTTCATGGCCCAATAACTCTGAAATGTCACACCTTACGAAAAATACACATTCACACATTCGAGAACACAAATTAGCATTAAGAACAAAATAATTGCTCAGTCGCAGCGGAAGAGCATGTTGTTTCAGATAAAAGACTTGGAAACATATAATTAAATGGCTTCTCGTCATGCGAAGATCAAGCTAGATTCACAAAGCTTCCTGTAGCTATACTTCACAGAGGTTTTTCTTAGGATTAAGGATGCAATCAAAGGGATAATTTTTAAAAAACAATTTGAGAAAACATCATCTTTCTTTCCTTTGAACAACCGATGAACTTTCCATTCCCACAGTTTTACGTCAGAAATTGACATTAGGAACACAATAGTTTTTAAACTGAACCATGATTACTTGAAAAAATATCCATATCTGGCAGACTTTAAGTTGAGAAAACACACACCAGTTAATGTGGCTAGAAAGAAGACATCACCTTTTTTTGTTTTGACAAATAAAACGAAAACACTTCGCTTTGAATCAGCATGCAAGAAACTCGTAACGCGCTCCACAGCAAACTTTGTTGGTTCTAGATCTGGGCGTTCTACTGAAGCGCGAAATTTTGCTAATATTTTGTCAAGCATACAACGAAATCGTGTGTGCTAGAGAATTCTCAGCAAACAGAAAATTAAGTTATGATTTGCACAGCAAACTCGACACGCATACATATGGCCTTTTAAACGATGCAAAACGATCTGTCTAATAACACTAAATAAAGTAAAGCGTACCTGTTCGAGCGGTAGAACAAGGAATGTTCCCCCGCCACTCGATTCAACCACGACTGCAATGAATTTAGGATTTACTGCACAATGACTACCTCCATCCGTCGATTTCGTCGATAACCTGATGGCTTCGTAACATTTATCTTTCTTGAAAGGATTCCCGAATACATGCTTAAACTTAGAGGAACGAGGTACTTTGAACGAACTCCGGGAGGACATGTTCGCTAAAACGTCAACAACGCTATTGTTTCGAAACTGGTCGTGCTACCGCTTGGATTTGCAGGTATCTCTTAAGACTTTTGACGCTACATACACCGCTCTAAGCAAACAACTTAATTCAACAAGGCAGGAGGACTGTAAAGGCCTTCTTTCCAATCAGTTATTGAATTAGCGTGATATCTTCGGTCTTCTTCTCTCGGCTCATGAAAGCCGTATTGTGATTGGCTATATTCTGCCGCATAAGATAATAGGCCTATTGTTATTGGTTCATTAAACACGCGCGAAAACATTCCTCGTCCTTCGATCGACTAAGTGGAGTCAAAAATTTGCAAATGCCAAACTGTTTACGTTTTCTTCAACTTCTCATCCCTCTGATTTCTGTTTGAGGTGGAAAGCTGGGATATAACATCACAATTAGCGTGCATCTGATGTCTTTTTACTCTTAGATCAATTTCAAGAAAGACGAAATAAGATTTATATTTTTGTTTGTTGCTGACATCAATTTTTACTTACCAGCTCATTTTGCCTGAGTCAGCTCTTAAAAAATATATTTATAGAAGACATTTTTTTTATTAAAAGAATGTTAGGAAATTAGCTGTTTATTCGATCGTGTCATTTATATGCGAGTCCGAAGCTTATCTCAAGGCCGATTAAAAAAAAGCCACAATTTTGCGTCGCAGTTGCAAATTTTGGCCTATTGTCGTCTAAACTCTGACAAATTAATTGCAAATTCACGCCATTAGCAAAGCTCAAAACAATAACAAATAAGCAAAACAAAAAGGAAATAATTCGCTGTTTTAACATGTGTTATAAGGACGGAAGCTCGATTTGAATGTCAGCATGATCAGGGAAAATGCGATCTTTCCTCTGTGATGTTTGTTCAATACCTTAAGTTTCGAAATGTGATCAAGGCTTATTGAACGTTCGGTCAGCAAAAAAAAAGAAAAAAAAAACAGATCGATAATTGTTACAAGAAGGTGAAGTTACTTATGGCACTAGACAAATCCCTCTTGCAGACAAAAATTGTAAGTGTCACTTTTCTTTGACTTGTTTACCTAGACAACGCAACAAAAGTCATATTAAACTAACTATATGTATTTTTCTCAGCTTCTAGAATCAGCCTCGGCATTCCAAAAATGGTTAGTTTGATTTCAGTTGAATCATTTCGGCTACCGACTAACTTCAATGTATGACTCGTTATAAGACCCCATTAACGTTATTAAAACTGTTATCGGTTCGGTTTCAACGGATTCTGACCTCTATTACGACCTCCATCTCAAGTGCATTTGTAAAACCCCCTGGTAGTCTCCTATTTCATTGCCATGGAAAAAACATGATTGACAATAGAGGAAATACCCCAGCGCTATGATTCGAGATAAATATACATCCCAATGCGGCGACCTGGTTAGTGTGAGCAACAGACCACTTGGCGCTTACATAGATTTGTTACAAAAGAAAATGAATAAAAATAACTAAAAAATCAAAATGCTATCGCGTTTTCTAAATTACTTTTTAGAAAAGCATATGCTGCGGTGGATGCACACTTCCGGGTCTCTTTGTTCGTTTTGTGTCAGTTTCCTCTTGTCTTTGTTTTTTCTTTTTTTTTTTTGTTTTCAAGGCGAAAAAGTTTTAGATTTAAATTTTTCTTTGAGGAGAAGGGTTATAGAGCCTTTCGATTTAAAATCGTTTCAAGGAGTCTTCTGCAAACCTAACAACAGCTATAGCTACTAAACGAAACACAAAGAGCGCTTTGATCGGCTAAATTGATGTCTTTATCAGCTCGGCACAAAACCCTTTTTAGGATGAAAGACGAAGGGTACAAACAGGAAAATGTTTGAAAATAGTTACAAAACATGTGTACTTAGCGCATCTTGAATGCTGGAGCAGGAATGCTCTTGGCACGAGGAAAATCTCCCAGTCTAGTATAATATGGACTTTAAGGTTGCCGACTACGGTTGGCTGCGACGGTTGGATGTGTCTTCGGTAGACTGGGTCGAGTACCGTTTAAGGGCGCGAAAGTTTAACGCTTGTTGTCCTTTAAGATTTCGCCGACAGACTGAAGACGGTGGTTAACTTGCCCTTCGAAGATGTCTTTTGAAGATGTCAGAAACGCGCTAGTAGTGGCTTATGCCAATGAATCCCTAGATGATGAAGATTTTTTGATTCTTTACGATTTTTACGTGTCCGTTAACACACTATCTATATATATATTGGAATTTTGATCCGTTTTGTTTCGATTCATCGAGTGTCTCTAAGTTCAGCAGCCGAACAGGGTTTCTAAAATACTCCGTGTCTGGCAATTAAATTTCTTCACAAACTACCCTTGGAAAGATCTTTCAAAATTCTAAGAATAACAGATGTTTGTTTAGAAATGTCAAGCGATTTCAGAAATTATTCAAGTTTTTAGTGCACCAATTTTCTGCTCACATGAAGCATTTCCATGCTCGTTTTTAGACCTGACCCCTAAATCTATCAGTACCGTCGAGACCTGGCTGTTAAAAATCATACAAGACTTTGAGAATAATTAGCTTAGCATCAGTGACAGATAATTCATTGTTCTAGAATGAGAGTCTCAGATAATTCCCTCTACTGGACTGAGAGCCTCAGCTCGAATTATGAATACTGATTACTACTCTTTCTCTGTCATTGGTTGAAAACTGAAACGATAAATGCTTGCATATACAGTCTTCTGTGGTTCCCTCAAAGACAATAACCGCAATATGGTCAGAATGGTAAAATTTCAGAGCTGTTCTCGGATCATAATAGCGCTTGAAAAACCATAACCTTTGTGACGGCAAAGGACAATGGACAATGCGCCATACCTCTCGGAAGAAAGCCGGGTGCGGTGCGCGCTCTCCATCCTTGCACACGACTGGCGTCAAAATACAACTTAGTGTCATTCACAGGGTAAAACTAAGGAGTAAAAAAAGGTAGCGCCCATTATTTGAATGGTGATCTGCGCTTATACGGGTTTGACACTTCCTTAATTTCTCTTAATCAAAAACGTATACTTTGCCATCAGGTTGTGTAGAGTAAAGATGAAAGAAATAAAATTTGAGCAGGGACACTCTCCAAAATGCTACACGACTAAATAACAAATAAAAGCATTTGCAGAGATAGCTCAATCGCGTTTTAACAATTGTTTAAGAAACTGGTATTCGGGCATTTGCCATTTGTTCAATTACATCGCTTTTTACCCCATTTCTAGTCGTTTCGTTTTGTTTGAGGGAAGGTTAAAGTTACCACTGGGAAAGTTTTAACCGTTTTATGAGTATTTAAGCCTGACTTGCTTCTGATATTGGAAATTGAAATAGATGGTATTAATACTCACAATCTACGAAGAATTGCCTCCGGGCACGCCCTCATTAGATGCATTTCGGCAAGAGCGTCACTCAGCCAGTAGTAAAGTATAAAGCTCTGAGCAACGCGAGCCGCCGAGAGGTTTGCCCCGGTTTTTAATAATAATAATAATAATAACAATAATAATAATATAATAATAAAGGTTTATCAGCGTATCCATCGGAGGGGTGGCTCTTCTATACTACAAACTCACTATAAAGTAATTAAAAATCTATCGTTATTACAATATTGCTAATACTGCCTACTGCGTTTTACATATAAAAATTATCTAAGGCTTCTATTTAAGGATCAACTTACATATTTAAGAGGTGACCATAACTAACCAATGTAATTATATACAAATACTAGCTAAGGCATTTAGCAACGACGATCAGCTTTTGCAGTAAATATGGCTGATTATTCCTGTAGGTGTATTGCCGCTTTCGCTTGTGAGAAAATATAGTGTTTAAATTTTTTTTTTTAAATTTTCCAGTTCCTTTGCGTTCTTTAGCAGTTTGTTAAACACTTATGCTGCACAGTCTTGAAAGGTTCCAGAGACCTGTAGTACAACTAAATTGAGTACTAATGAGGATCGTAAAGTGCGCTGGTAAACACGCACCTCCAAGGGGAGATATGGAGGCCATTTTTCACAATTCAGCGCCTTGTAAGCGAGTTTGCACAGGTTCCAGTTCATGTTATGTTTGACAGGCAGCCAGTCCAATTTCAAGATATCTGACAAGTCTACATATTTGCCAGTGGACACGCTGCAGCCGATTAATAAAATAATTTGGCACTTGATGAAATAAAACATCATTATAACCGATTCTTGACAGAACAAGACATTCAGCCAATTGTTTTCTTGCATGGAAGGGTGCAAGATGCTTCATTTTTCTGAGTATACTGCTGAGCAAGCGTACCGTAATATACTGATGTTTTAGATGGAATGTGGCGGTTCCGTTTCAGTGCTCATGTAGCTCTGATTCAAGGAGTTTGGCTGACTTTACCCCCTCAAGATTAATTCCATTTGCGTTGAGACGCGACTGATAATCCTGGAGACTGTGAACACGGGCAAGCTGTTCGGTTCAAGCTGATTGGTCTTGCTCTGTTAAAACTGGGAAACTTCTCCATGAGTCGTTTCAAATGTTCCAGTAAGCGAAAAGACGTGCGTCCTGCAGAGCTAATGTTGAGGGCCTGCTCACAGGCTAACTTTGAACCCTTTAGCCCTTGTGAGTGACTAGCATCTAATTTCTCCTTACTATATCACCCCTAAATCACACATGAAAGTTATGAGAATAGAAGAGATGATCACCAACTAAAGCAGCTCTTGACTGTTACACAAATTCTCCTTGTCAGCCTCTTTGAGAATGTATGGAGAGCAGTATGGAGAACATGCATACTGATGTTGGGGGGGAGGGGGGGGGGGAGTAAAAGGTTAAACAAACACGCCACGATTTATACAATAAATATCCACAAGTTTTATTTAATCCAGTTTAGTGTGGAATCTCACACCCGTTTGCATTTACGATATAAAGTCAACTGGGACTTACAAAAGCTTTTTACTTAAAATAATATACACACCACAGCCCTTTACAAGAGTTATAACTTATTGCATATATCTTCCACTTAGCGGTTTTAACGTACCTGCGACTCAAGTAAAGAGCAGTATAAAAGATAAGCAAACGCATGCAGATGTTGGGACCCTTTGGAACACTGCGGTCAAACATTGGGCATGCGCAAGAGGTCAATTTTGGCCTGCTGCGGACCAAATTCCCGAGGAAATTTTTTAAGGAAACGTAAGATACAACCGCTTTCAGAAAAAACTGACACTAACATAGAAATCTGTAAAAGGAAACAAACGCTGTGAAAAGAAAAATTTAAAACTTTTGGAACACAAAGCGTGCTTAGTGACATATGTTTTGGGCTTTGAAAAAGTTTCAAGTTTTTAAAACACTGTGACTTACTTTCTTTTGTAGTTATTTATTACTCTAGTAGACAACTTGGGGAAGTTGGCTTGCGGCTTGTAGATATAAAACCCCTGCGCATGCCCTACGTTTGACAGCTGTGTTGGATAGAAGACCGGACACGAGAAGGGGACAGAAATCGAGCCTACGTCCAAGCATTGTTTCTCTCAGTCTACTGACACCGCTACAAGACAGCTCTTTGTGTCAGTTTTAGTGTTACACATCTAGCAACCATAGACTTTTAGTAATAAATATACGTGAACAAGTACAACACGTTAGTTAATACAGTTATAATTAACATTTTGAATGTACATGCGTGTTGCAATTGTCTTTGTACCAACGTAATCCTCACAACTGTTCTGTAATCGATGTGAAGAAAAACGAAAAGGTTTTGCAATCTCAAATACTCCAATCCCCAACCCTTTTTAACTGCTTGCTTATAGCATGATACTACCTTTCTTGAAAACGCATTGATATATTTTAATATAACACAATACCGTTTCTTACACTTTATAAATCCAATATTCTGTGCAATTTAATAATAAACAGTTTAAGTATTAAATTAGAATACTTCTTGTAAAAATATTCCTCTTATGCATCATTGTTTGCTTGTACCCAGCATTACTTCGTACATGACCTTGGTTTCTGAAACAATAAAAATGTTTGGCAGAAAATTGTACATAAAGATCAGAATGAAATACAACTACATGTTTGATTTGCAGTCTATGACACACAAGTTTTGATCATCATTTCAAAACAATTTTCTTACAAAGTAGCCACTGTCTTGGCTGCAAAATCCTGAAGCAAGTCACAATATTTCTCCAATAGCTGACTAAGTAAGTTGACATCTATGGACATTCTAAATTTTTGACTAAGAAGGAATTATTCAAGAGAAAGCATTTTGACTTTGCTTGAATTTATACAATATCTTATAAAATACTTATAAGTATGTTTTCTGTACCCAGTACTAAGCAGGCTCAGTTTGTTTTAAAGAATATTTTTCTTGAAACACATTTAAGACAAATCGATGACTGATCATGTTTTGTTTTGAATTAAAAGATTGGGAGAAAAATTCGAATACTGTTCATCATACATTAATGATCAATGAAAACCTCCCTTTGCCATCTTTCAAAATAAGCAACAAGTTGCTAGTGTTTCATGAGTACATTTGGAAATAACCACAATTTTCAAATGGAATACTTACATAAGGTGTTCTCTGGCCATATTTGCTGCAGAATGTCACTTGACATTTACGCTTGTGCCCTGTGCGCTGGTCAAAGGACTGGCACATGTCAAATGCTGGAATGTACACATGAAGTGATGCTGCAGTGTCAGAATGGCTGACATTCTCCACACGATGAAGACCTATGCTATCTACATACAAAACAAAAAACAAACAGCAGTTTGTACAGAAACTTCCTAGATGACTTATACTTAGTTTCAAAAATTAACATGTATGTTAATGGTTGGACTAAAAATGCAAACCAATGAAAATAACTCTTGAGTTTTCAAATCTAAATACAAAAAAAGATCTTTAGAGAGCCAATTTTCCAGGAAGCAAACATGATTAACACCTTAAACTACAGCCCTATTTTCATAAAAGTACTTTTAGTGGGTCTGATTAATTCTTCTCAATTAACAACAAGCAGAAGCACACTTTCAGTGAGGATGATAACCCCTTCAATTTAAGATAATTCAGTCACAAAAAGAATTACAAAGCCCATAAATTACTGAGAAACTAAGCCCAAGAAAGAGTGCTGTTCCAAGATCAAGAACAAAACCATGCCCCTCTATGCATGGTATTAATTGCTAGTGTATACTCAATCAGGTGGGTGAATTTTACATACAGTTGGAGTCAACAGGTAAGAAGTGACATTAGCTTGAAAACTTTAACCCTTTAACCCTTTAACCCTTTCACTCCCAAGTTTGAATTAGTAATTCTCCTTACCATCTGCCATACAATTCTTATGATGTTAGTTCAGAGAATTTGGTTTTGGATCAACTAATAATCCCATAATTGATATTCTTCTCTATTCTCATCACCTACCTGCTTGATATTGTATCAATATTGTAAGGAGAAATTCTGTCTTGGTCACTTGTGGGAGTGAAAGGGTTAACCGCTCAGAGTGACAAGCATCTAATTTCTCCCTACAATATATCCCCTGGATCAAACATTAAGGTGTTGAGAATAACAGAAATGGTCACCAACTAAAGAAGCTCTTGATTGTTAAACAAATTCTCCTTGTGAGTACCATAAGGAAATTATGGAGAATATGAATGCTGATGTAAGGGTGTAAAGGGTTAAGGGTGAGCATTGAAGTTGATCTCCCTCTACCCTTGGACATACCATTGATGTAGTTAACTTCATTTGTCTTATATAATCTTGATCCTGTTGGTTCCAAAGACTTTTCTGGCTCAGATTCTGATGGCCATGCAAATTGAGTTTCTTTCAATCTTCCATCTAACACTTTTAGGAAGCAGTGGGCATCAGCATGATCATGGATAGAACTGAAACAAAACAAATTTCCAATTTCTGAGCACAAATTCCAGTTTTGGAGTATGCTAACAAAACAGGGCACATTCCTATTTGGAGCAAGGTTAAGTTTATTGATCATGACCCCCACTGGTACACACGTAGGGTCAAAGAGGCTATCCATATAAGACTTCATCCCAACAACATTAATAGGGATGATGCAATTGACATTCCTGAAGCTTGGATACCCACAATCAAACAACACAACAGCCGATTTATAAGGACCTATTAGGGAACACCATCTAACAACCACAACAATAATGAGGATTGAAATGCACCAATAGCAGCCTACCAACATGCTACAAATAGGGACATGTAAACAATCAACTTCATGGCCTGGTCAAGACTAGTAATATTGAAGTCGAAACATCGCGATCAACATCAAAAGTGACTATTGTGAGACAAACGAACAATGTTCATTTCCTATCTTACACCACGCTGAGCAATAAACACATATTTCATTACATTGAGGTGATTCAGTACTCCATTTTCTTTGTTAACACTTTCTCCTGAAACAAACACCACGATAGTATTTGGAGCTTTTCCAACATATTATCAAAATACTGGAAGGTGCCACCTTTCTGCATGCAGACAGTTTTACCATAGATGGTAAATTAAGTCAATATTTTGTTTAGTATTTGAAGTTTTATCAAACACTTCCTTTTAATTTTACAACAGCACTTATCTATGAATGTTACTCCTTAAAAATAAATTATTGTTCTAACACATGTATTGTTTTCAGAAAAAATGTCAACCTTTTAAAAAATTTGAATTATATCATGTTAAAACATAGGCATGCTATACATGTGAGAGTTATTTTTTGGGGGGTGGGTGGATTGCGTGAAACATTGTAAGTGATGTCTACATTCTTACAAAAGGAAAGAAGAGTATTAGCATGGAAAAGGACGAAAATGTTGAATTAACTCACACACAGATATTATTTGGTAGATTGTGTGTGTTGTGTGAATAACTGTAACCAGAAATAAACTTTATTGGTGCCATGGATACCTGTTAGTACAACATGCAGACTGCAGACCGGATACAAAATGTAGACTAGGTACAAAATGTTGCCTGTAGACTGCAGATTGGGTACAAGATGCAGACTGAGAATCTAAAGAGTTTTTTATCTGGTATGGTGATATCATGTCATCTTGCAACTTACCAAGCATCATGCAATCACTTTTCTGCAATCAGCTTTCACAATTATTTGCATTATTGTGGAATATTCCTGGCCCTTTTTTTGATGAAAATCGATCGCAACATAATTTCAAACCTTTATAGAGTCTTCTCACTTTGCACGCGAGTTGGTTGCTGTGATGTGAGTACAGATTTTACCAACATAATAAAAGTAGATGTATAAAGGGGTAAGTTTCTAAAGAAACTGTGGTGCTGCGTCGGTGGGAGAGTATAGCAGGTAATTTAGTGTTAACAACTGGGTTGAAAACGTAAATTAGCCACCGTAAAGGGTAAAAAAGCTGACGTTTTGAGCATTAGCCCTTCGTCAGAGTGATTGGTCTAATCTAATCTTCGTCAGATCTAATCGCTCTGACGAAGGGCTAACGCTCGAAACGTCAGCTTTTTTACCCTTAAAAGTAGATGTAGATGTAAATGAGATGTCACTATTGAATATTTAACACGCAAAACATTCGAGAAATAGTTGACAGCTTTGCATGTGGTCCGTATTATCATCTTTTTTAAATGGTATGTGTTTATTTTGTTGACAAAAATGTGGACCAAAACCAGAAATATGGACCAAGATCAAAAATGCAGACCAAGACCAAAACTGTTCCTTCGACTTGATATATTTTTGACATTTTTAGATCACATCACAATAACTTACCACCGTAAATCATTCATTCCAGATAGCAAAATCAAATAAACATGCTAACAATGGTATCTGAATTCATCCTTGGTCAAACACAAATGACTCCACAAGATCACTTTCTACAGGCATCGAAAACATACACAAAATCACCCATTTAACAATCCACTCTCTCCGAATCCCCCATTACTTCGTTGAAATTTGAACACCCCTCAAACCAAAGAACAAAATGACACTCTGATTGGTGCAAGATACATACCCTAATGCAGCAATCTGATTGGTGCAAGATACATACCCTAAACAATATGATTGGTGCGAGCAACATACCACTCTCTGTACGCTAACATAGATGTTAATTTTTTAATTAAAAAAATAACTCAGAAATAAAAACTTAACATCTGCAAAATGTGAAAGCTCTAATTTAAGTATCTAGTTTGTAGTGATCATGACTCAGTCTTAACAAATTTCTTGATTTCATGGCTCAAAGTTAACCTTGAGCATTGTTCACTATTACCATATTTATTCACTTATAAGGCGCACTCGGTTACAAGACGCACCCTAAACTTTCGAAGACAGTTGTGACAAGTAAGCAAAATGACAATTTCACATTAATACCCTGTTATAAGGTGCACCGGGAATTACAGGAAATTTTGTTGACCATATTTGCTGTACTTACAACAATTAGCTTCCAGAAATTACTAATTACAGTGCTCTCATTCTCAAAACAAAAGCTTAAAAGTCACACATTACAAACAACAGCAAAAAAGTCACATATGGAAAATAGCATGAAAGTCACACTTTTTAATTCACTCAAGTCATCCTTCTCAGGAGACAGTGTTTTAAGTTATGAATACTAATTGTCTGTTTTTATGGTTATAAATAACACTCATCTGACAGATCTTTCATTTATAGTTGCAAAACTCATCTTAATCTTTGAGCATTTGTTCAGTGTACTGTAAATTTTCAGTAATTATGACAAGCACTCGTCGTCATTCCTATGATCTAAACTTTAAGTTGAAGATCATAGCAGAAGCAGAAGCTGTGAACAACAATCGTGAAATTGCTCGCAAATATGGCTTATCGGAATTGATGGTCCGTAAATGGAGAACAAATCAGATAAAGTCAATGATCAATTTTGTTTGTCTTTTGTTTATTCTTTTAACGGTATTTATTTACTTTCTCACTTCAGTTTATTTGGGAAATTTGGAAAAGTTATATTTTGTTGCCCGAAAATACTCAGTTATAAGACGCACCCCAAGTTTTAAGCAGATTTTGATCAAACAAGCATATTTTCTCGTAAAAAATGGTGCGCCTTATAAGTGAATAAATACGGTACTTCTCTTATGGCTTTTGGGTCTCAACCATTTCAAACCAATTTGGATTTGGTCTCTCTTTTGCATGTCTGACATAATCTGAGATGTAGGTAGACTGTATTAGTTGTTTAATGTCACACAAATTTGAAGGTTCAGAGTCACAAAATTTTGCAATACCTTGTTCTCCCATGACTTTCACCTGAGAAATTAGTTTGGAAAAAATGTTTAAAGGAGACCACACAGTCAAGGTATTATTGATTTGTTGTTCTATAAAAATCATTTTCATGTTTTTTTTTATGGGGAGCCATTTGTGCCAAAAATATCAATCTCTAGGGATAAAACTTAATTGTTAGTGCTAGCATATCAACCTCTAGTGATTGAAATCAATTTTTAGCACTAAAATATCAATCACTTGTGGTAAAACTCAATCATTAGGGCTAAAATATCAATCGCTAGTGATTATACTCAATTGTTAGTACTAAAGTATCAGTTGCTTGTGATAAAACTCAATCTTTGGTGCTAAAAAGTATTAATTGCTAGAGATAAAACTCAATCATTAGTGCTAGTATTGATTTGTTATCAATTTTAACTAGAATCAGTCTCCTGCTTGTTAAGCAAAGATGAACCAATCAAATCTTGCTTACTTTCTAATGATCAAGTTTTATCACTAGCAATTAATATTTTAGCACTAACAATCGAGTTTTCTCACTAGCTATTGATATTTTTGGCATAAATGGCTCCCCATAATCTCCATGATACTTCAGGCCTGGATAGCAATATAAGAAGAATATTCTTTGACTTTCAAGGTATTCACCATATTCAAAGTTATATAACCGGAATTTGACATTCCTTGTGAATTTTTATTTCCTTTTTAGTTCTTTATAACTAAACATGCTGACAAAAAAATTTGCATTGTCCTAAAGAACAAAACTGACCTTTAGAACCTTCATTTGCATGCTTTTCACGTGCAAAATGCATGGATGCAATTGGCTTATTAACACATGCAAACCTACGTGTTTAATTTTATATGGACTTCATGAAATGTGTAAATAATTACAGTTATCAACAACCGTTTTCTTCCATTGAACTTTTTCATGCATGTTTGTTACTTAACTACGAGTTATGAGGTTGGCAACAAAGAGTGTTTTATGGGAAAAATTCAGACGAGATTGAGATTAGTGACGTCTGGACGATTGTTCACGTCAATACAATTTCGCCGGTTGCAAACGTAGCACTTACTATATGCCACAAAGACTAATAGCTTTCGAAAAGAGAGGCAAACATTAATTTTTCAATTGAAGTGATACCAGGCTAAGAAAAATACCTCACGTAAATGTAAAAAAAGGCGTTTCATTCAATGAAACCTTTGTGAGACTAAATTAACCGCAAAGCTTACCTTCCCTGACCTTCTCCCCAGCACAATACGATCACGTTAAATTTGCCATTTCCTTCATCTACCAAGTTTCGAGTGTACCTATGACATAGAGAAAATATTTACAAACAGTAAGAGAACAAAAACTGGTACATCTATACATAGAATAAATAATCCAACACAACGTTAAAAGTTTCCTAATGACCTGTGTGGGTCATATGTAGCATATTTTGCCCAATCCGCGGGGTTCGATTGATAGGACTCCAGAAATGAAATAACCTGCTCTACATCGACACAATCGTCGTCAAAAAGAACATGAAGACCTTTCACCACGTCATCTACCGTTATGGGTGGCTCTAAACACTTTTTTGGGTCCATAACAACGGAAATTTTCTCGCGACCAACTACAGGTCTTCGCGGTTCGTCAAATTCGGCCAACGCAATTTACTATACCAACCACGTGCGCGCGCAAGGGTTGTTGTCAGTGACGTCACGTCAAGAGGTTCACACCCCCGACCCCGCCTCCAGATTTTGACAACCCAGGAATAACGCCAAAATCAACAATAAATCTGTGACCGACAAAGGTATACATACGGTATCAACATCCCCCCGCCCGGATCTAAGCTTGGCAGCTTAGCCTGACCTTGTATTTCATCGTTGGTGAAAGAGACTCGCCAGCAACTGATCGGCCTCAAAATGATTGAAGATTAAGAGTTCGTGGATTGACATTTCGAAAAACCCTATTGTATCAGGAATCCTACTAGAATAAATAGAAAAAACATGAAACATGAATTCATTTTAATGGACCATGAAAACATTTTCCTTCCATCTTTCTAGGAAAAATAAGCTCACCTTGATTGTGTTGCCATTTGAATAAATAAATCCTTTTCCCCTGAAGTTTTCTGCAACAGGAACTATATAACTGCAAGGACTTTCATGATTGAAAAGGGTGCAGAATGCGTCAAGCATGTCCAGGCTTATCTCGCTCTCGGTCACTCTCACAAAGACTTCCATAGATTATTTCAAGATTTTTTCTAATCTACTCTACGAAAGTTACCTTCTTCGTCCCTCAGAGAGTCAAATAATTGTCTCCAGGAGTTTCTTTCTAGTGACGTTCTAGAGAACACGAACAGGTTTTAACCTGAGAAGACGGGAAGGTGATCCATTACGTAGTACTCACGAGACTGATTCACAATACCAAAAATTTCGAATTTGCTTCTGAATTCCCATTACGCGAGGTGAATGTAGCATGTCCGACCCATCCATCCTTCTTCGTTGCGATTTTCGCCCCGCATAAAGCACAGGCGAAGAAAAAAAAACAATCGCATTGGACATTGTACCCTGAACATTCGGGAGAATTGTTATTAGAAACATTAGCAGCCAGGCCAGATTAGCTTGGTAACCGCGCTCTGTACACGAGGTTTAGAAATCTAAACTGAGTGTTTCACTGTCTGTGAACAAGGAACATTGCTTATACTTTTGTTTCCCTTACTAGCTACTGGTTCTGATCAGTGATCTTTACCGTAATCTAATATGGCAACAACTGAAGAAACCCTGGCTGAGTATGAGAAAATGTTTGCGAACCGTTTTACGAGTGAAGATGAGGAGTACATGAAAACGGTTAATAAGACTCAGGCTTCCCCTCCATGTCTGACAGACTGGCTAAACTCCGGATACAGGGATAGGTAAAGAGCTTTCCTTCAATTTTAACTACGATTTAACCTGTTTATTCTTTTTTAGTAGCCCTCTCAACGGAAAAAGAGACATTTTGGACTCAAAAATATGCATTCGAGGGGTCCAAAATTTCGTTGGCCTCATTGGAAAACATTCCAACATGCCCTGTGTCAAAACTTTGGTTGAGATACAAAATGTGTTTTCTGTGTGGTATGGTTCTCATCTCCTAAGACGAGAACAGCAACTTGTTATAAGTCTGTAGTTGAACTTGAGGTACATTTTATTCATTACAAGCTCTATTAAAGATATACATGCATCATTGAGCTGGGAATCCTTCTTTGAGAGTTTCTCAACTTTCTTTTTAAGGTTTCAATCTAAACCCTTTAACTCCTATGAGTGATCAAGACATAATTTCTCCTTACAATATTGATACAATATCAAGCAAACAAGTTATAAGAATAAAGAAAAATATAAACTAGGAGATTTTAAATTGATCTTATATCAAGTTCTCATGAGCATTGTATGGCAAACAGTAAGGAGGATTACTGATGAGATCTGGCAGTGAAAGGGTTAAAGGCCACTTATTCATATCTATGACTGTGTATTTGCTCTCTTGCAGCCGCTTTCAAAGCTATAGTGGTGGCAATGACAGCAGGAACTATGAAAGGTCCAGACATGATAGCGGACGTGACCATGGCAGACGACATGGTGAGCATGGAGACCGTCATGGAGGTGACAGACATGATTCATATCATCACCGAGATGGAGACAGGTAAGATCATACTATGAACAACTTGGAACTTCATTTGTAGTAGGTACACACGGTTTGAAGATTGTTTATTTCTCTTAAAGTAATGTGGAGTGTTACAGGAGTATAGAAGGGAAAATACTAGTATTTTCTCCAAGGAAAATTTTTGCAATGACATGACATCGGGTGAACCACATTGGTATATGGAAGCAATAAAAAGTCAGCCTTACAGTGGAGAGATGCGATTGCCTAAGGGTTATTGCACTGGACTCTGGATCCAAGGGTCCTGGTATAAGACCTGAACAGGTCATTGTCTTGTGTTCTTTGGCAAAACACTTTGTCTTTTCAGTGCCTCTCTCCACTCAGGTGTTGTAATGGGTACCAGCAAATTTTCAGGGAAGCCAGGTGAAATGCTGGGGGATAACCTTGCGATACACTGGCATCCCATTTACATTTTACTCTTCATGCTATGGAACCTTGACTAAGCTGCGGCCACAGACTTTACATTACAGTGCCACTAAAGTTAGGGGGAGGCAAATAATGATAAAAATATAATTAACTATTCACATTACATCATTTTTTCAACTATATCCTGGAAATTTTGGGCAAGAAGCTTGCTATGCCATAGAATGTAAACTTGAATACCAGCCTATGAAAAAGTGCATAATGTTATCAGAAATGCCCTTATGTGCCAATAACTGTTGGGGTAGACATTTTTTGCCCATAGTGTTGACCTGAAAGATCATCAAAACTGAAGAAAAGGTTCTCTTTTGCTTGAATACAGATATGGAGGTCGTTATAGAGATGACCGTGGTCACAGAGCTTACAATGATCGTCAGAAACCTGCAACAGAATATGGTTCTCGTGGATACTATGAGTTTTTCTATTGATGGAAGATCTGATATCAGTCAGAACACTTCAGTTAAAGAAACATTGACACTGTGCTATAAGAATGTATAAGTTGGCTGCTGATGTGTCCAAAGAACTTTTCTTTTAACTAAGATCATCATTTAAAGAATGAGCAAAAGAGGAGCTAGAGAAGATTTCATGGGTGGGGAAAGGGTTTGATGTATTTTTTCCTGCTGCATGGCTGTTCTCTCTCTTCAAGCTCATTTGTACATACTTGCTTTTTTTTTTTGCTTGCTTAAACTGAAAAGTATGAACAGCTGTAGACAGGCTAGTCAGCTATTTTTCATGTTAATACAAGACTTTGCCAAACAGAGGCCATACAACACTTAAGGTAAAATTCAGTCAAATTGTTAGAGCACTTCTTATACGACTGTCTTTGTTCAGTTTTAATTTAGAGTATAGAACATTCTCAGATAGCTGAGTGCAAGCTTTAGATGTGTATGGCTAAACGCAACCTTAAGTTCACTTGTGTCACATATCTGAGTGCCCATTATGTTGACCAGGAAACTATCAACTGGGATCATCCTCCAATTATGGGAGATGTCACATTTATTAACTTGTGTGGTAGACAATCAGATACTTTACTGTGCTAATAAGAAATCATGGAAATCCAGGTTATTTATAAGTCAATCAATTTGAGGCCTCAACAGCCCCCCCCCCCTCCATGGGTAGCCCCTGACCATTTGAACTGTTGAAGATTAGTTTGTTTAGATTCCCTCCCCCCCCAAAAAAAAAAAAAAAAAAATTGTGTTCAAATGCCCTGCCCCAATTTTTTTTGTAAGGAGTTCTATGTTCATTATGCAATAAATTGTCGTGGAAGAAAGACGTTGTTCTTAGTGTCATGAGTGAAGGAGGAGGAAAAGATCACAAGCTGTAACACCTAGACCTTGAAGACCAGCATGCACAGCTCTTTAGAATTCTAACCGATCCTGTCAAGGTGATGAAATAAGGTTTCCTATCTTCTTCCGAACTTGTCTCAGAAGTATTTGGTTTTGAAGCAAGTTTTATTCCCAAGCGCATTGTTTGATGGTCGATAGATGTTGTGGAGTGTTCTTTTTTACTAATTTCTCCAAGAAACCATTTTTTTGGCGTCGGTTTTTGGGATATTGCAGGAAGACGGTCTCCTATGTGGGCGCGAGCAGATGCGGGTCGCTTTCCATCTAATTTAGCCTCTTGCCTCGAGAGAAATTTCACTTTCTTAAATGACAGAAATGCTTTTTCTTTTTCCTTTTGCTTTTGAATTAAACTACGATATTTTTCGAGCTGATTTTGGTTTTGGTTTTTAAGTACCTCTGTCTGTCGTTCCTGCTCCGTAGCTAAAGCAAAAACGAATGTTACAGAATCCATACCTGGTCTCTTGTAAGCCCGTACTGCTTAAAATGTACGTGCCTCTAAAGTGAAGCTGTTTTAAGATTACTGTTGCATTGACGCTTTCCTTGTTTATTTTCTTTAATTGTAGTGTTGTGGTCGTTTATAGATCATAATCACTGTTTTTACAGCGTTAATGAGGTCGTTACCCAAACAAGGTTCACCAACTGCGATACCCACAGTGTTCAAAAAGGTGTGTACTGAATTCTGATTTACATATCTTTTTCTTCTATGCTTTCACGTTGTCGAAGAACTGTACATAAAATGGAAGTAAAACTATACTAATCAATTCAGAGAGTTTTCCAAAGTTTTTGTCTTTCAAAATGTAATGATCAGACTGAGCCTACAGCAGTAAGTTTTGGTGGCGTTGTGGTTTTGTCAATGAAGAAAGTACGAAGGTGGGCGGATTCCTTATTCTAAAACTCAACGAATTTGACAACAAGAGAATGGCTTAATGAACACTTTGTCCTGTGGAACAAAACTAACAGTCACTAATGGAAAAGCTTTTAATCTGTGACGCCATAAGGTGACACCATCTACAAACAATGGGGCGATCCCGCTCGCTTTAAAAGAACATTATCACTTGATTCAAAGTTTACTTTTGTTCATCAAAATCCTTTTTTGATTTTTTTCTAGTTTGACTCGATGTAAGCTTGTATATTAATTGACCTGGAAGACATTAACTATGTATGCTTCGTAAATAATGACATCCATAAATTCCCAAGTGTGGAAATCCGAAATAGAAACTTTAACAGCTGATCATTAGAAAGCTTTCTAAGAAATGACTTGTCAGTCGTACGCAGATAAATTATTGTGAAGATTGAAATCTTATAATGACAGCTTATCATTCAATGGCAGCGCCGGACTCAAATCGTAAGTCGAAATGCTGCATCCAGCAATCGCTATGGACACGGTTATAAGACGCACGTGATTTGACTTTATCGAAACTGACACGCTCACCATTATCTAAATCTTTTAAGAAAGCTCTATTGCTGGACAAAAAGAACTTCGAAGCATAATACTCTAAGTTTATAACAAACTAATGTCATTATCACCGTCAGTGCCTCTGTCACTGTTAATGTCAATGTCACCACCAACGTCGATGTCGGTGTCACTATCGACGTGAATGTCAATATCATCGTCAATGTCTGTGTCAACGTCAATGTCTATGTCAATGTTGATGTCATTATCATTTACAACCATGAACCAAACCATATTTATATCGAAAGATCTGTGGTTCGGCGGGATTCCTTGGTAAAGACTACACATATGCCATTCACATTTTCGTTTTGCAAGGAATTTTTTGCTTATTTTATGTTTCTCTTTCCCCCCCCATGCTTGCTTTATTTTGAATCACTAGTACAAATTTTATCTAAGATTCATTTTTCGTTCTAGTGAAATTCTAGTTACCGTTTTCCCGCGTCTATCAAGCCATGCAAAGCTCGTGTTTGTGTCTTTGCCTTTTTATTCCGATCTATTTCTTCTTATTCATATCGTTTCCGACTTTATTTTTTATTACTAGTTATTTTCCCTTTCAAAATGTGCCTATTATGGAAACCACACAGGTAAAATTGAAATAAAATTGTTCCTTTGAGACAAGTGACTGTTTATTTCTGTTTGTTGCCTACAATCGTGTAATCTTTCAAATTGCCATTTGGCGTTTGTTTCGCATATTTCAGGACCCTAATTCTTTTTAATTTCGTTCTTCGCAAATCGCATTAGAAAAGAAAGTGGATTAAGGGTTTAGAGCCGCATTTGAAGCAAATCGAAAAAGTAATAGATTGCTTTCCATCAAGCCTACTTCTTTGTTTTGAGAAGTGACATGTTCCCTTCGGGGAACTGACGAGTTAGTGTAATAGCACTAATCTGTTTAGCTGCATCACAATAAATTATTAGCTAGTGAACTAAAGTGAAAAAGAAAACAACCTTGGCACATTTCTAGTGATTGATGAGATTATTTGTTCACTTGGCTTTTTGAATTATGTTGGTAACTCCTTCTTGACCTTGATCGTGCGCACTTTAGTGATAGTTTGCGTCAGAATCACATTTCACTGACCAATTAGCTTTCCGACAAAAGTTATTCGTTTCAACCATGGTTTAGTGGCCTGAATGGTAACTGTAGATCTTTACTTTCTTGGTCACGGTGTTGGTGCTTCTCCGTTTAAAGTAACTGAAATTTCAAAACCTCTCAGGTTATACGTCAGTAAAGGAGTTCCACGCAGTTGGCTTTAAGACCAGAACACTTAATTTTTGTTAATTGACCATATCACAGTTATTCTTGCAAATACCTATAGATCTCTTGTCTGGGCTAAATGTGCGTCGTAAAGCGATTGAGACGTGACAATTATTTTCGATTAAGGTCGCAGACAAATAGGCGCGAGAAAGTACTTTCCAAGTCATTAATTCTTAGCGAAATTTAAAAGCTTTAAGAGTGTGTCAGATCTACTGAAAGACCCAGTTGTACTTTGGAATACAACAAAGAGGTATTAATTGGTAAACTCATCCATCATACTCGAAAAGGGGATCATTAAAAAAAGTGCAAACTTTTAATGAATGGCAAAGTTTGCTCAAGTAACGTTTATCGAGAGGTTGGCCACTTCGCCGCTGTGCTTAGAGTGAAAGGACCCGTCAGCTACGAAGTAAACACTAGGACGATCGAAGACGAAATAGTCCGGCTCAACCATGGCCATGGGAACTTGTAGTAGAGAATACAAAAGAGCTGTCATGCGAAATACAGCAGCAGGAGGTAACTTGCAGAATAGTTTAGACAGTCTCGAAGATCAGAAGAAGCGTCTCGTGCGCTCTTTTGAGGAGAAGAAGCTGAATTTTATAGAAAAAAAAGGAACACTTCCAAAACTTTTCTCTTCGCTCGGGCAGACTGGAGGAATGGAGCGCAGCAAACGTGGTCAACTCACGAAACAGCTTTCAGATAGTTCAGCGTTAAATGAGTCTCGTGAAAGGAGATTGAAGGAAACATTCTCATCTACGAACGACATGGTGAATTTTAACAAGCAAAACCATCAAATATCAAATACTGCAGCAGAGCAAGACGACACTCTGTTGCCGCCTGCCATAGGATCCAGTGCACGACTACAATACTCTGCGGGGCGAAGGAGACACAGCGATAACCTCTCGAGCGAGAAGCCGAAAACACCATTAGCACCAACCCTCTCGTTACCATCAGAATCAACAGAATGGAAAGAGGAGCAGGAGGCATATGGCTCCGACCCAGAGCTGGGTACATTCAAGACCAGATTAAGAGTTCCAGCTCCTTACACAAGTCTGGGGACGCAGTTGCCACTTTCACCACTTCTACAAAGGAAGGCCTCACGCCCCTCCAAGCCTCAGTTAAGTCCTTTAGACGTGGCAGCAGAAAGGCAATGTGTATCGCTGCCTGCCTCTCCCCGTTTTCAGCGCCGACGTGCAGAGAGCTGGGATCAGGCAAAAAGCCAAGAGTTGAGGTTAAATGACCTTGCAGAGTTCTCGAGCGAAGGACCGAAACTTCGCTCGATGAGCTTGGCTTGTGAGAAAATCGAAAGCGGCAAACAGGTAACTCTTCTCATTATATGAATTCTGTTTGAGATGACTAAAGGGGTGCAGGGGGGCATGGTTTTAGAAATACATCTGATCTAATTGCGAAGTACATTTTTTTTTTACTTGGTCACGGCTGAGTTAGTTGAGAATACGAATGGCCTGTAAATGAGCCTGTACAACACGATAACTAACCAGCCTTATCTGCGCGAACTCGAATCTGGTCGAGGCGAGAATATTTGTAATGCTAGCTCGATGGGCGTTCGCAAATTTTATCAATTTTTTCATTCAAAGACGCATCACTGATGGGACACATAAACAAAATTTATTTGTATTTTGTACTCTCTGTGTACTCTGTAAATGATTGTAAGTGGTGTTTGTCCCGTAGACTCAGTTCTCTACGACACTTCGATTTTGGACAGACCATTTTCTACTCTTCTAACTGGGGCTAACATCCTAGACTGTATACCACGGTCCGGATACCGAAACATGAAAATTTAAAGGTCACGGAATATATTTTGGTTTCATATCTCTCTTAGTACTGCGTTGTTTCATTTAAAGCCGGTTACTAGCGATCTACCACCGCTTAAGACCTCTTATCGCCGTCTGCTTCTCCTGCGAGCAGGCTGATCAGTTTGGGTTTCGCCTTTGGCCCCTTTTCAAGGAACAGCTGCTTGTTACATCATCGACAGCCGCTTATGGAAAAAAGTTATTAATACCCATAAAACCATATCATGCATAGAAATGTTCAAATGTCATTAGAGATTTACAAAGTTCAAACAGGAAATTTATCTTTTTCGACATTTAAAAAATGAAAAGCTCGCAAATGAGTACGAAAAAAAACACTACAATAGGTTAAAAACATATTTTTTAATAATTCAACTCTCAAATTTGCAACAACAATAGCACTAATATTAGTATGGTTCTCATGGGATTTATAACGCTTAGAGCTGATTACTTTGATCTATTTTTTGCACATTTAAAACAAGACTAAACTAGGAAATTGATAGCCTTGAATCAATCTGCTGCATTTCTGACTTGTGCCCTCTCTCTTTGACTTGCACAAAAGTTTAATTAAAAAGCGCGAGAATTGCGGCTGAGAAATCAAGTCTTGTTTTACACGAGTGTAAGTGACGTAATTGTCACTCTAGGAAACGCTAATGAGTTTACTTCTTTTTGTTTGACCCTGGAATAAGATAAGGGAAGTACCGACCACTCATTCGCACATTCCTCGTTTTAATAGTTGTTTGGGCGAGGCTTTATCATTAAATGTTTGGTTTTAACAAATTGACGATAAGTAGATCAAGCCGTAAAACGATTGGTAAAATGACTACTGTCTTCCGGCTGTTGTGAATTCCCTCACGGGACGCATAAAGGGATTTTATTTCTTTTGTTTTTTGCAACAAAGAGCTTGAGATGTGAGCGTTGAGTCATTCTCGAAAAGAAGCTTTAAGCTAACTGCAAACTGCTATCTTAACTACTAAGTTGTGTTTCAATCATCTTGAAAGTGGCAAAAAGTTCCTTAGTTTTGTATGGTCTCAATGGCGCATAGCATATCCTTCAAAGACTTGATCAAGAACGATGCCATGTCTAGCGATAAGATTAAAAAGGCTATTGACATTAATTCTATCTACGACGAAGACTTGAGGAAAGATCTTTCAACTCTACAGAAAGAAAGAAAGTCTTTAATGCAATCGTTGACCAAAAAGAAGCTAGATTTCATTCGTAAATGCAAACTACCATCAATTCACCAAACACACTCGCAGACGGAGTCTGACAACGCAGCAATCCAGAAAAAAGTTGCCGAGTTCTGTTTTGGTTCCTCTAGTAATTCTACACCTCAGCGCAACACTGCTTCACCGGCGCCTTCAGAAGCGCGCCCTTGGAGTCAACCTTCGAGTAAAGAAATGGGTAAATTATATTACCGCCAAAGAAGTTTCACCTCTGAAAAAGATTTCATGTTAGAAGAAGATGACCCATTAGAACAGGGGGACATCAATCGTTTTCCAAGTGCTGATCAAGGAGCTACAAACGCCATAAAGGCAAGGAATGCCTCTGGTTCAACAAGTTTTAAGATTGCCTCGCCAGGAATAGGCCTACCAGCAACACGTTCTCCAACAATATCTCGGTTAAGTAATTTAAATGACTTGGCCCAAAACCGATCTCTACCGAATTCGCCCATTGTCCTAAGACGACGCGCTTTCACGTTGGACTCGAACTTTGGTAGAAGTCAGAGTACTGATGTGAAAGTTGCCTTGGGGCGATCACAATCAACTCCAGCAACTAAACAAGGTATGCGACATCGAACGGAGTCATCGCCAATTGACCTCGAGGTAAGTTTGCTCTATGGGAATCTGGATTTGTCGCTTGGAGTGATTTTGTGATAAGCATTGCATGATCATGATGTACAAACTCGAGAAAATAATTTTTGTCCGATCTTGGTGTGAGTAGGTTGATCAATATCAACTGCACGAATAGAGAGACTACGATTTCCTTTCTACAAGCAGGATTCAGCATGACAACACCATTTCTTTTAAAATTTATAGCCACATGTCATAAATTATCAAACATATGTGTAACGCCAGAGGAAATTCGTAAGCTACCTATTGAAACCTCCTGGATAGAAAAGGTTTCGTCTTGAATATATTGTTGTATACAAATGGGCAATTTATGTCCAAACTGACCATTTCTGTAAGATGAACATTCTTGAATACTGAAAGAGTGTCCACAGCCTAATTCCAGAGGGGCACAAACTTCGCACTTTCTTTTTATTGACTTTTAGGCCACAAAATGGGTGGATGGTTTTTTTTTGATAGTTATGATAAATGATGGATTAAATATCATAATCAGTTGATGTTCTGTTCCAACATTGTAGTGCTCCTAGACTTTATCACGTAAAGTTAAAAAATTTGATCATGTAGTTGACAATTTTGTTCAGATCCTGCGCTTGAATTAGCCCTTCATTCTTGAGAATCTTTGGTGGATAATTTTATCTCTGTTGTCACTTAACAAGAGGATTTAAACAAAGAGGCTCTTTCCATACATTCAACTGAGCCACAGAAGAGCAATTTACAATACGGGACAAACACCACTTACAATCATTTACATAATAAAGCTTGTACACAGAGAGTACAAAATACAAATAAATTTTGTTTATGTCTGACACTACTTTAAGACTTAAACTCAAGAAATTACCCCCTGCAGTGATGCGTCTTTCAGTATCAACACTAAAGCAAAAAATTGATAAAATTTGTGAACGCCCATAGACACAAAATACTGTCAACAATTATTTCACAACTGACTCTGTTTAATAATTTCATAATTCCAAGTTCAATGAGAGGTACAGTAGGTCACAATACAACTGCACCACTCAACACACCAAATTTTATTTTAACCTATAAATCTCTCAGAATGGGAAACACCAGCGCGCAGACTCAGCGCGCAGACTCAGGGTCAAGCGGTCCAGGCTCGAGACCCATGGCTCTCCAAGTTATAATATTATGCTCTTGGGGAAGACACTGTACCGCACAATGTCTGTCTTCATCCAGGAATGTGAATAGGGACCAAACCTTTAGATAAACCGGCGAGGGGGGGTGGTGGTGGTGGGGGGGGGGGGGGGATTTGTTTTAAACTAGTATCCCATTTATGAGAAGAAGCGTTAGTCCTAGTTGTATCATGTTACGAAAACTGTTATAGGCTCTAGCGCCTTATGAGTTAGCTGGAGTGTATGTTTTACATTTTACCCTATAGCTCTTTGAGTATTGGGGTTAACCTAATTTTGAAAATAAGCATTTCTCCCCATTTATGTAAATTCATAAACTAGTAGAAAGCTTATGTCTTTCAATATCAATTCACGACCCTCCAATTAATTCTACATTCATGTATCTAACAACCAAATCAATCCTAGGACCTGGTGAGGATAGATTAAGTTTAGTGAAAGTAGGTTAAGTGGCAAGCATGGCTACTTGACCTGTGTGTAAAGAAATTGTATCTCTTATGGTTCAAGTTATTTCTGGATTTAAAAACTTCAGAAGAGTTTGATTCTTTTTTTTCCTTGTCTAGTATTTAAAAAGGAAAATTGAAAAAAAGGAATTTGAGAAAAAAAAATGAACCACAGCACATCCACTCTCCTCCTGTGCTTTCTGCACTGCTTGTTCACTTTTATATCTCATGCTCCAGTAGAAATTTCATATCAAAACCAGGTTCCTTGTTCTGATTGTTCTTTGCTGTCCACGTTTCAGGATGTAGGGAAGCTGCCACCGCGTGTACCAGCGTCACCACAAATTTCCCCACGAAGACAGCGCGGTTTTCAACCTCTCGGGGCTGACCAATTACAGTCTTCTCCTCAAGAGGGTTCATTTATTTTACCAAAACTGGAAGCACGAGGTTCATTATCTAGTATGTTGGACGAAAATGGGAAAGAGAGAGTCCAGAGACGAGTGTTCAGTCTAGTGGCAGATAATGCTACAAGAGAAACATCCCCGCGGAGAGAAGCACTCGAACTACAAAATTTGTCTCCCAGGACAGAAAGAAAACTCAGGAACTTCTTAAATTCCGAGAACGGATGGCTAACCGGGTTTTCCTCTAAGCATGAGGGGCTTGAAGATATAGTGGAAGATGGCAAAGGCCTACAAAGACCAGAAGCAGAAGACGAGGAGTGTACTTGGAACAGCGATATTGATGACGATGATGACGAAACAATTGGTCAAAAGAAGATTCATTCACTGGAGGAGATTAAACACACGCGTTATCTGCGCATGAAGTCACCAGTTCATTGGCTACCGAAAATGGGAAATGTGCCAAAGCATTTGCTTTCGTCGTCAATTATTGTAGGACACACGAAAGTAGGTTTCGAATCAATTTCCCGACCTCAGAGAGATAAAGATGTCGATAACCTTGATGAGAGCGTGAGCTGTGATGAAATAGAAAACAGCGAGGAGGGGAATGAAACTGATGGAGAATCCAAACTGGAGCCAAAGAAAAACGAAAACAACAATGAAACTTATTGGGATAATTCAGAGCTTAAGGAGAACTCAACTAGCGGTTGCAATTAGTGTTGCTCAGGCTGGATGAAGGGTTTCTTTCATACATCGCACACCCTAAGGGCTACCTGTAACACAGCAGTCAAACATCGGGCATGCGCGAGGAATCATCTCTGACCGGCTGCGCGCCAATTTCCCAATTTCAAAGGAGAACAATTTTCAGAAATAGCCAAAGAAAACTGAAAAGTTCATAGAAATCTGTAAAAGGAAGCAATAGTACGGAAAAGGAAAACTCGAGACATCGAACCCAAAGCTTAATCCGGCAGGGGTATACTGTTGATTTACGATTCTGTTTTGATCTTTACCGAAAAAGTTCTACCAAGCTATTTTGCACATGTACAGATGTTTGACCGCTGTGTTGCCCTCTGCGCACTCAGTCAGGTACTAAGCAACCAATTTGAATTAGACTTTCTTGGATATAAACAAAAACCAAAAGTACACTTGTTTCTTGAATGAACATATATGTTCATTACCAAAAAGTGCAAATTTACTCAGAATGCCTGATCTAATTACAATGAATTTCTTTTGATGACTGTACATTTGCTTTAGATAACAATCCCTGTAAGTATAGGTAATCACATGATTTCGAGTGCAATTTGGAATAAATAAGCACGAGTAAAAGACTAACAAAATTTGTGGTCTTTGAAAAAATTAATAAGTGCTTATTTATTCCAAATTGCACGAGAAAATTCATGTGATTACGTATTAATAATATATATGAAAAAAATACGAGATAGCTTATCACAATTATGTAGAAGCAAAGCGCGCATCAAGTGGAAAAATAATTTATTCAAACCCTGCAAGTGACACAATGCGTTCGGTCAAAACAACCGCGTACGATTTAAACAATGATATAGAATGAAATTTTCATATCTTTAAGGCGCAAAAAATTCAAATTCCGGCTTAACAGTTCAAGGAATTGTTCAGTTTATGTCCGAATCACTTTCGATGAAATGGAATCGTCGTTTGCGAGGTTTAACCATGTCTGGTTTAATTTCGGCGTAGAATTGCTCGAGAAAAGTGTCAAGGTGGGTCGGGTCGTAATTTTCGATTTCCTTGGCAATTCCCTTCTCTAAACACCACTTTTTCCAAAGCGACAACCAAAGAGCAATGCTTTCTATAGTGTTTTCGTTGTTAGAGCTGTTTTTCAGCTGCTCTATTGTTGTTGCGGTGGCGAAAGAAAACCAACTTAAAACGCCGGCCATCGTTTAACTCGCAAATTTTCAGCGTATCCAAGTGTTGCGACATCCAAGGCTCGCATTTGATTGGCTATCTGTGAGTTTCTTTGATTATTGACCAATTAGAATGTCTGGTTTGTTACTTCTTTGCACTAAATTAACCCTCCTCTGCATTGAATTACCTGAAAAAAGCATGTATCTTAACCAATCAGAACTGGGTAATTTTTTCATGTATATTATTAACACAGAAATAAAAGATGAGATCGATAAACGGCCTTTATAGGAACATAACTAAATCTTTGTATGAAATGTTGCGCAGTGAAACAAAAAGTTATTCTGATCAAATAATTTTCAGTTCCCCAGTGATTTCCAGGTTGATCTGACTTTAAAATCTGGATAGGAGTTTTAGAACCCAATATACCTTGTGCTTAAGTACGTCGGGAAACCCAATTTCAAGCCTCGCATTCATGGTGTAAATTGGTGAATTTTAGTGGTAAAGTATCCCCAAAACGCTGAAATCAAAATAACACTCACATGAAAACAGAAAAGATTCATGAAGGTTTTGGTGCGAAAAAGGCTGTGGGGTAAATGTTTTATAAATTACGTCTTCGTGCTGAAGAGCTTTTGGCACTTGACTCGTAACCAGTCGTCTTTTCTTTACCTAGTCATGGGAGACTAACTAGCACTTTCACGATGTTAAAGTGGAAGACCGGGGACGAGTCAAGATTGGCACTTATCCCATTTTAGCCGTATCAAGAAAAGCGGATTTGCTTAAATTGAAGCAGGCTTTGTTTAACGATTAACAATGACCATATATGACGACTTTGGAACAATGGCGGAAACAGCTTTAAAATACACGCGGGATTTTTCAAAATTTCCGATTATCATACGAACGGCAGATTTAAACCATCGGCAAAACTGATGATAAGACAAATCCTCCCCGTGGGGGCGATTCTGGTAGATTTTTTTTAGGATGCAAATAGTCACGGTGGGGTGGATGGTGGGGCGACTGTAGCTTTCGTATCTGAAGTAAAGAGATGTCACCGTTTTTTCCTTTACATTGCTTAAAACTGGCGAAAGATATATTCAATTAGAGGCTCACTGTGCGATACAAAGGTGATGAGAGCATGTGTAACCTGGTATTAACGTCCGAAGCCTACCACGCCGTTGAATCATATAGAAGACTATCGTCATTTGCTCGATTGTTTAATGTGCGTGTATTTAAATTTCGCGCTGCGTGAATAAGATTTTGTTCCTGATGTGCACAAAAAGGTTCATATTCTCCTTCCTCTAGCGTGTGATTTAAACCTGGTAATAACGTCCGAAGCCTCGCGCGTCGTTAATTCATGTAGTTTTACGGGTATCATTCTCTTTCCGTATTTCAATTCAACGAAAGGAGTTAATAAAAGAACAACGGCGAGTAGAAAAAGTCGCACACGCTCGTCAATTTCTCCCATTCAACTCGACTGTTCAATCCGACTATATTTAAATTTCGCGCTTCGTAAGCAAGAAAAACTGAATAATCTCCTCCCACAATTTTGTTGTGTTTACACAAGCCGACATCTGATTGATACCTATTCATCCTTTTGTGTGATAGCAGGAGGTGAGATTTTTTTTCACATAGTCATGTTCTGCTAATTTCTTCCTTTTTTTTTGCTCAACAGGTTACGTGTATTCAATCACGTCACTGACGCTCTCAGATTCATCTACCAAATTTTAGGGCAATCGAATTTCGCGCTACGAAAGTTATCCTATTTTCTTAGTTTGCATAAAGCGCTGCGCAATCGCCTCCCATAATTTGCTTTCGCGCTATAAACCGCCTCCTAACAGAAACTCAATTGAAATCCTATCTTTTTTTTTTTTTTCTCACTGTATTTATTTATTTAAAGAAATATAAGGTTTACAAAACTTCATGTCCTGCAAATAGCTACAATGCTAATCTAGGCAGGACAAGACTTTAACTAAAGGCGTTATTAAATTACATAAGAAAAAAGAAAAGAAGAAATACAAAAACATACAGAAAGAAACACCTTACATATAAATTCAAGTACAAGGGATTTTGTTATTTGAAAAAGACTAAAATTACAACTAGAGGTATATACAATATATCAGGTTAACTTCACAAAATATTCTATTAAAAAATTAACATTCAAATAATTATCTTCATTACCTAGAACATTAAGGAGTAGTGATTTAATTTTTTTACGAAAATTAGAAACGTTGAGAGTCTTAACAGAAAGTGGAATAGAATTCCAAATAGACACACCGATTCTAGTAAAAGATTTTTTCATTTTTTCAGGTCTAGAGAATTTGACAGAGAAGCATTCTTTTGCAGATAATCGCGTATTATAATGATGTTCTGTATTGATTTTCGCAAACTTATCGAGAAGACTTTAAGGAGCTGTCTTAGCATGAACGTATCGTGACAATTTAACGTTGAGGCGCTTTGAAAACACTAGACAAATTTAAAAACAGGTAATTAAGTGTTAACAACTGAGTTGAAAATGTAAATTGGCCACCGTAAAGAGTAAAAAAGCTGACGTTTCGAGTGTTAGCCCTTCGTCAATCGCTTAAATTACCTGCTATACTCTCCCACTCTTTTCTCATCTCCTTAAAGCGATGAAAAAAATCACACCTTCGTTAGATGCCAAGCGTGAGGCTTCAGGCAGTCTCAAAATACTTAAATGAATGACGACAACAACAACGCTTTGTTCAACAAATGTTTCTAGATTTACTCTCGCTTCATCAACTATGGTTTGGTTACATTAACATAAGATAAGGCAGCCTTACATTAGGGATTTGGTTGACTAAGGATTGCGACAATCCTATAAAAGACCTAACAGAAGAACAGATGATTAGTTCACGTTTATCTAGGCGTGAGAAATGTTCTCAAAGTTTAAGGTTACGTCCGTGTCCAGCGCGTTTACAACACACTTATCACTTATTGAAGTGTACGAAGCTGAAATCAGGAGACTGAGAGGCGAAAATGAGTTTTTAAGACATCAGAACAACTCGTTGGTCGTCCTGCTAAATGACGCCCAAGAACGCAAAAAGGCATCGTTTAATGCCTCGCAAAAGCGATTCTTCGAGTTGACAAAGGCAGCCAGAAACAACAAAAAGAGGAGGATAAAAAACCTTGTGGAACAATCGCTAAAAGGACTCCAAGAGTTTGTTCCCATCGAGGTATGTTCGTTTTTACCTTATTTCATATTCTTTGTTGCTACACCGTTAGAGTTACTGATTGATCTTATTTCAATTATTAATACGGTTACCTCCGCAAATAATTATCAAGCCACCGTTTCATCACGCTTGCATTCCCTCAGGTAGCCGGGTGCTACTCTACAAAAATTTGTTTTAGCTTTAATATACACATTTCGGCGAATTTTGGACTTAGACTCGTACTATAATTATCGAAAACGTTTGGAGTAGAGACAGTATTGAAAACCGATTATTTGAGACTTGAAACCGCAGTAGAGTGCACACGGATGACGACGGATATCTGAAAATCTAAACTCCGTGTAGGATTTTTAATAGTTAATTTATAAGTTCTTGATCTAAACTTCTCATTCGAGTGTATGGAATGAGTGCACAAGACAGTTTTTAACTTGTAAAATTCCCTCTCAATACTGTTAACACATCCTTTGATCTGTTTCAGATCAAGTTTAACGTACAAGGAGAGGAAATTGTTATTCCCCTTGGTTCTGTTGAGGAAGAAATACACCATCCTCGGTAGAGACAACGCGGCATAGATGTGGCATATGAAACTGCATAAGTGTTAATTAGTACTTAGAACCTCTCGGCCCAGATCTACTGACAAACCCTACGTTTGGAAGAAGCCGAGGAACAGTAACACAGAACTGAGTAATACGAAACGAAACGATTAACGAAGGGACACCTTCATCAGGGCAAAACAAAACAAAACAAATTTCAGGCCTCGTATATGCCACCGCAGTAACTTTAAGCCTTTTACTGTGACAAGAAAACGACAATGCAATGTAATGCAATGCAATACAATACATTGCAACTACATCACACTCCTGTTCAATTCAAGTGATCATCAAAAGAAAAGAAACAGATTGCCGAGACCAACCGAGGTGTGACGGTTGATAATACTGGGTTTACTCAAGTTCCTTTCTATGGAGTAATCTTGCATTTGTAAAGACAAAATAATTCATATTTATAACGTTACTATGGTAAAAATGTGCATTAAACCTCGGCCTTCATCAGTTGAAATATTTATTTCTTTTTAAATTTTAAAGTTTTATACGCATTTTCAACCAAAGTAACGTTCTCATTTTTCCTTATCATGAATTCACCTGGTAACAGGTCCATTTTTAAAGCTTCACCTGTGTTTCATCATCCCATGAAACTAGCGCTCCTGCATTTACCAGAAGTTAATAAGAAAACAAGAAACGAAAATAGCCAAAAAATCCTGAAGAATATTGGATATAGCCTGAGAGTAACACCATAAATCCGAAGGTAAAAACAAAGCTAGTCTAACGTGTAAAGTAAAAAAAACTGCTTATCTTAAAACAAGGCCCCAAACGCTGCGAAGAGCTAAAAACCCTTCGATTAGGCTGACCACTCGCTGAAGAGGAAGGTCCTGAAAGGAAAGAAAAAGCGATAGAAGTAGAAGACGCGGACTCCTTTCGATCCGCGGGGCGAAACGACTACGCCTGTCCTAGGTTTTTCTCTCAGCTCTTCTCTCCGCCTTGTACATCCTCTTTTCGTCATCGGAATTTGAAGTCGGCTCGTCCGAGAGGTATTCTTTCACCGTTGACTGGCCAAAATCACTCTTATCGGCCATTTTAATCACCTTAAATCACCTTTATCCTCTTAGAAACAACCTCAGTACCTGCGTTCAAAGCGGCCTTGACCTTATGCTTGTCGTGGGATTTTGCTTTCAAAGCGTCGGATGCTTCGTTAAATCTGACTAGCACTTGAATGACATGATCCAGCTGCTGTTGGTTTCTCTTTCTCTTTCTCTTACAGGTGTAACTTTCTAGAAGCGCCTTTTTGATGGCTTGCTCGGCAGTGGAACTATTCTCCTCAGAAAACCGCTTAGCGAAACCGCCCAGATCTTCGATAACCCGTGTAAGGTTATCGGTTAAAGCACCAATAGACTCGGCAACGGAAGACTTAATTAACTGGTTAACGGAGGGGCTGATTGCAGTGCCTGAGCCGTCGTTAACAGTAACAGTCGAAACCGAAGACCCTTGCTCCTGCTCCTTGGGCATAGCGATGGCTAAAACGAAACTATGGGTCGTAGGCGTTCGCAGACACGAAGGGTGAATACAAATGAACAAGACACCTATATAACCGTACGCAAAATACTTAACACCACTTAAATACCGAGGTACAAACAGACACTACAAAACACCTTATTAACCATATATGAACGTGCAGAAAACAAATATCTGCTAAACTGCGAACAGCAGATATTTTTGCATTCTGTGGCTTTTCCGATATGAGAAAACGAGCGAAGAAGCTGCCAGAGGTAATCATTTCTAGTATTCATTACACAGGTGAAAAGTGCTTTTCGCGTGTTGCGAGTTGTGTATGTGTTTTATTTGTAAATAACGAAAAACTTTATTTGTTTGCTTCGTACGCGCTGATTGGCTAGCTTGAAAGTGATTAGCAAGTACTTTTTACGACCGAGCAGTGGAGGAGTCAAAATCGCGCGTCAAGAATTTCCGAACCATTTTACAGTATATTGACAAAAATTAATCAATTTTTTGGTTTCTGTATATGTGAAAGCAATTATTCTTCTATTTGTTAATAAATAATTGGCGCTTGTGACATAGTAACGTCTTAGATTATCTGACCTGTCAGCAGTCTCCTCGCCTCAATCCTCTGTATTTCCGACCGGAACATTGGTGTACCTTACATTTATAGATAGTGTAGTGAATATTATACCGCTGAACGACTAATTCGATGGCTTAAAAAGAACATGGCTGCCATGATGGCGGCCCTTTGCGCTCGAAAATTGGGAGTTTTCCAACCTTTTAAATGTGAGTAGATCTCGAAGTTTGTTTCAAATTCAACATTAATTGTAGTGAGTTGTATCAACTAGCTCTAAAAGCGAAACAGAAGTCTTATGATTGGAGTAAAATGTTGTTTACCATGCCAGTCTGCAATAATTTCATCATGTTTATACAGACCTTAGCAGCTTGTAGTAGGACACTCAGGTCATTTTTGTGAACAAATGGGCTTGTTCGCCCGCGCGTTTTCTTTAGCTTGATTGGTAAATTATTATACTTCAAAATCGGATCTGGTTGGGTTACGAATTCTCTCGGGATCTGCGACTCGATCGAGTTGAGGTACCGTATTTTAATCGATTAACCGTTCGCTGCGGCATTGATTAAATTTTTCCTGATTCGAGTGCGGCGTTTATTCGAGGGAAGCTTTTATTTAAAATCCAATTTATTTATTGTAAACAATAGTATGATAACTGACCATTTTAATTTTGGCGTTTATTAAAATTTCTGCTCTAAAATGTGGCGTTTATTCGAGGACGGCGTTTAATCGATTGAATACAGTAATTTAGTTTCTAGTGTGAGTCAGGGTTGATAGATACATCAGTCAGTAGAACTAGGAAAAAGGAAAAAGATTATGTTTTAAAGTGCTAGTTTTGTGCAACAGGTCTGCCAGTGCTTGTTATACAGAGCCGAACAGCAGCCAAGAAGTCTGCAGGTCATACAAAGAATCGTCAGCATCACAATAGAAGAAGAAAAGGCAAGGGTTATGGACCAAGGAGGACCGAAGGTAAGCTTGATATTTTAACTCATAAGGATTTGACGATTTTAGATATATGAAAATTCACATATTTGCACTGCGGTGGAGAGATGATATTAACAGATCCTCCCAGCTAAGAACACTACTGAAACTAGTAGTTGTAAATAGGACCTGAAAAAAATTCAGGCCCGTACGGGATTTGAACCCATGACCTCTGCGATACCGGTGCAGCGCAACTACTAGTTTCAGTAGTGTTCTTAGCTGCGAGGATCTGTTAATATCATCTCTCCACCGCAGTGCAAATATGTGAATTTTCATATATCTAAAATCGTCATTCACTTGGATGTTTATTTGTACCCAATTCATTGACCAGCTCCCAGTTGGCTTGTTAGCTCAATTGGTAGAGTGCTGCACCGGTATCGCAGAGGTCATGGGTTCAAATCCCATACGGGCCTGAATTTTTTTTCAGGTCCTATTTACAACTACTAGTTTCAGTAGTGTTCTTAGCTGCGAGGATCTGTTAATATCATCATAAGGATTTGATTACCATGCATTTGCTCGTGTATTTATTGTGAAACACTGCCACTACTACTACTCTATCTTGGGTAAAAATTGGAATAATTGAAAGTTGAAGTCAAACACTTGCATGGCAGAGAGCTTCACTGACAATAGCTACCTGACTTAAAATTATTTTGTAAAACCTCTCTTCTGCTTATGTTAGGCTTTGTTCCTATTCTCTTTTGTGGGTGGGTTGGGGAGCTAACAAGAAAACCTCTGGTTTATTTAGCTTCCTAATTTACAAAGTAACCTTACCATCTTGATAATAGTTAAAAACATTTTCAATCAATCAACAATACTGTAAAATGAAAATATCATGATAATTTAATGTCATAATTGATTTATGTGAATAAAGCATTGTCCTGTCTTGTCTTGTCTTGTCCTGTCTTACAGCAGAGTTGTTTGGTACATTTATCATTTAAATCTGATTTTTTGTTCTACCCTAAGTTCATTGACAGGATTTGCTCTGTTTCTGTTTGCACATAAATCACTAAAACTGATGGTGCATCTTATAACCAAGTATTTTCATGAAACTTTCCAGTTGGGAACTTGACATTGTCACTTTCTCAAGTTGGGGATGTGTTTAAAAACCAAAGAACCGTGTTACTGTACAAGGACTCAGACAGGATGTTGAGGGTTAAGTACTAATCAAAATTTATGTAGCAAAAGGGTTGACTTTGTATTAAGGAGTCAATTTAGATAACTGAACAGTGGAATTTGATTGTTGACAGATGTAACCATTTCTCTCTGAATTTAACAGGAGAACGTGTCACACCAGGGACAATGCTTTTGAAGCAGAAAAAGACAGAGGTCAAATATCACCCAGGATTAAACGTAAGTTTATGTGGTTTACAGCAACAGCAGTGATTTTCAAGGGGCTAAGAGGAACATTTCAGCTTCAGCAAAATACAGAGCAAGAAGTCATTATATAGCAATAGCAAGTGAAAGATTCTTTTGTTGGGGATTTTTGGTTCAAATCACAGTTCCTTAATTGTCTAGTCATCATTTACTTATTTGATTGTATTAACTTAGAGCATTTTCTTGGTATGCGGTAATTTCTCCCCCAGTCACTTCGCTCCAACCAAAAGTCAGTTCACTCCATAATCGAAGTCACTTCAGTCCATACAAAAGTGACCTCACTACATGTAAGAAATCAGTGAACTTTTTGTTTTGATGTTGGAGTTGGACTGATTTTGAACTTATGTCAGTTTAGATTTATTAACTAATGCAGCTTCCAGTCATGTTCACTTACACTTGGTAACATGAAATATCATTTCCTAATTTTTGCATCAACAATATTGGCATGGCGTCAAGATTGTATTTATAAATTGGATGACTATAAAATACAATCTTGTTAACATATATACGCTTCTTGAAATTCGAGCACATTTTGAGCGCATCAACAACATTGGCATGGCATGATGGACAGAGAGAGATTAGGGTGAGGGAAACAGACAATTACAAACATGTTGTCAAGATCATTTAACATCAGTTAGGCAAATAGAATCTTGTAAGCATATATACACTTGACTTGTAACATGGAGTGAAATAACTTTAGCATGGAGTAAAGTGACTTCGACTATGGAGTGAACTGACTTTTGGTTGGAGTGAAGTGACTGGGGGCAAAATGATCATGGGACAAGATGACTGTAAACCATTTTCTTGGTTCACTGATGAAGCAGGTGTTTAGAAATTTGCCGAAGAAGAGAACATTAAAGAATAAATGACTGTGACTATATGAAAATCATTTACATGAACGCTTAAGTAGTGTTCATTACTGCAAGGGTTGCCTCATATATTCACAGTCATTTACTCATCACTTCACAGGTTTATTAAATACCAACATAATGACAAGCTCCCAGTTGGCTTGTTGGGCATAGCAGTGCATTTTGCAGGCTGAAATGGAGATTTTGGTATTTTGTCGGGTGATTGTTCAAACTGTTTTCTATTCATTTTTTCAGTTCTTACTTTATCAATGCCCTTCAAAGTGATAATAGTAATAAAGTTTATTTTTTGGGGGGCATAAATATATTTTAGGTGCCTTTCAGGGTCATTTAGACCCTTACCTTTCAATATGAACCAAAATATGTCTGAGTTAGGCTCCTCTTAACTATTTAATTGCCTTGTGGCTTTCAGTTTAGAGGTGCTGAATACATTATGGTTTGAATGAAATTTATTTATTTTTTTAACTTTCTTTGTCAGGTTGGTCTTGGTAAAGACAACACTTTGTTTGCATTAGTGGAGGGATTTGTGAAATATAGCAGTGAGCGTGCTGAACCATATCATTGGTGTCTGGGTCAGCAGGAACCAGTTGAGGAAAAGAAGTATATTAGTGTTGTGGCTAGGGAGCCATTTAGAGGACACAAACTTGTTCCAGTGCGAGATGTGTATAAAATTGCTGACCAATAATGTGCTTAGTGTCTGAATGGTTTTTACCTTAGGGATATTTATAGATTATAATCATCAAACCTCTCTAAGATGGACACATAAAGGATTGTGAGCATGTGCCAGTCTTATTAAGCTTTTAAGGAACTAAAAGGAGTGTGGGCATAATCTCAGTGTTATCTGTGAGGGCTATGTCTTTAAAAAGTGAATTGTCTGAGAAGAGTGCTTCATTTAGAAAGTGTCTTCTATTGCATTTTTTCACAGAGAATATCGCTATTAATCATAACTGTTAAAAGCTGTTATTTTTTAAATTGTGTCTCCACTGTTCCAAGAAGATTTTAAAAAAATTTTTCAAAGATTTCGAAACCTTGGATGGAGAGATTTCTCATCACTTTCAATACCAGTATGTAAATGTAAGGAAAATAAAATTCCTGGACCAATGAAGTTTGTATAATAACTGAGATATTACGAGCGCCCAGATTGGTCAAAAACCAATCGTTATTGCACCGTAAACCCTAGAAAATTGTAAAGAAATAAACTGAAATTTCCATCAGTTTACCAGCGTAATAACCCACTCGAGATGTTAGGAGAACACGAAAAAAGTGGGTTATTACGCCGGTTAACCAATGGAAAGTGCGGTTTATTTCTCAAGTACCCAATGGAGAACAGTAATTCGTGACTGGGGGTATCATTGTGCTAAATATTAGGAAAGAAAACGCCCTTCACAGTCATAAGTTGTCTCGGTGGTTGAGAGTGACTTCCTAGTTCTCTTGAGTGTGGGTAAGAGAAATGTCTTCGAATTGCCATATTGCGCTTATCCTCCTAAGAAAAAGACAGAATAAATCATAAATTTGTTGGATGAAGAAATGAAAATTAAAGCTAATACGAATTGCATTTCAGTTTGATGTTATCAGTGGGTGAAACAGGAATATTAAACGTAAGAAAATTCAGCGGAGAAAGGATTGATGACCACCGTAAAAACTCTCAAAGCTGACGTTTTGAACGTTAGCCCTTTCGTCAGAGAGAAGGCTCGAAACGTCAGCTTTGAAACTTAACCCAGTTGATAAAACCAAGATTTTCTCGTTTCCATCCAGTTTGATTGAGTTCATCAGTCCAATCCCTATTCACGTTTCATCAGCTGAAAACTTCTCTGAGAAATGTATAAGCATGAAAGCTATTTAAACTCATTGTTAACCCTCACACCCCTAAGAGTGATTAGCATCTTAATTCTCCTCTCAGCATCAGCCCTGAATTAAACATGAAGGCAACGAGAAGAAAGGAAATGATCACCAGCTTAAGCGGATCCTGCGTTCATCATATTCCGTTCCGATTACAGGGGTGTGTATTCTACATTCGATCAACGCTCTACAAATTAGGTTTGCCTGGTGCTAGGGAATTAGACTGGTGAGGGGTAAAAGTTGGAGACCAGGCCGGGCCAATGCGCTGTGTTCTTGGGCTAATCACTACATTCTCATGTTGCCGCTTTCAGCTTAGGAGTATTCAGCATGTGGGTACTATGGCGGACTGTCAGATAAACTTGATGATATCAAGTTGCAGAGGTTTACAAGGTTTTGTAATGGAGTAGCCCCTGCTCATGAACATGGATTTTTTATTATCATTGCTGGTAATTCAGGTAAAGCTAAACATTGTCTCTTACCTGGTGAAGGGGTCTTGAAGCGGTGTCTCCGTTTTGGTTAGATTCTGAAGTTACCTCACTTCGCCTCATCATGTATGATGAAGCGCGTTTGCGTATCTGAATTGGAGGAGATCCAGGCATCTCCTTGATTTCCTGCATTGGGTCTTGTTCGTTTGCGTGCAGAGTAAATGTCCTAAAATAACCTTGTTGCATTTGAGTGCGCGGAGAATATACAGGGCTAGAGCTGTTACTTTGTATCGTAGGCTCCTTGTTAATGTTTAAGTTGTCAAAGCGGCGATGAAGTTTATTCGGCGTGATTGGAGAGGCATTTTGGTTTTGAGTCTCCTTTGGGTCGCTGAGGACGGCAGATTGAGAAATTTGGCCAGGATATATGATCCTTGATAAGTCCTTCACTGTTAATTTTGGAACACTCATTGGGTGTGCTTTTCTGTTTCCAAGAGGTACATTTAAACCATCTTTGTTTTCATGGTGACTGCTACTGATAAACAACTGCGAAGACATACCACCTCTATGATCCAAAGAAGTCTTATAATTATCTGCTCTACTGAACCTTTCGTTGTTTGCTGTTGAGCTCTCATCCGAAAGTCCTTCCCTCTCCGATTCTCCTCTGCTTATTCGAAGAACAGGTAGTTTGCTAAATTTTCGTTTCATAAAAGATTCCTTCCTTTGTTCCCAGGAATGCGCGAGTTTCTTTCGTTGACCTTGGATAGATTTCAAATCTTTCTTTAAAGTGTCCCCTTGAACAGAGTTCCGCATTGTTGCTTTCATCAAATTTCGACTGAAAGTGAAGTGCCCAGCTTTTTTCTCGGGTTCTTCCGCCATTGTAGGTTATTTTGCTAAGCGAGTTATCGCGGCAGTTTTAATGAACCAAACTTGAAAAAATTGACGGCCAATCAATTCCTAGGCTTTGAAAATTAGCCTAATCGTGTTTTAGGTGAGCTTATGTTCCTTTGTTAACCAATTCTATTCAAGCCTATTTTATCTCGGATAATAAACCTCTCAGAGGATTAATCCGTTGTTTATGAAGATTTAGAACAAAAACTAACATCTTTTCAACCTCTCTATTATTGAGTATTCTTTCCACGGTTATGAGCAAGAAAATTAAAAAGCGACGTCTGCGCTAAAGAAAAACTGGAAGCATTTTCAGTTCATAAAGTTTTTGTTTAAGGGAAAACTATTAAGTTTCACGCAATACAGTCAACTGAACAGGAAATAACATAAAGTTCGTATTCACCAAAGTGGAGTCAGATTACACGATTTTACATGAAGGTTCGACAATTCAGTAATTTGAAACGGTTTATACAAAGACTATTCTAGGCCTTCAGTTAGTAAAATGAAGCCAAATAGTAAACAACGCGGTGAAATCGGTGGAGTGAAAAACTGAGGGAAGTCTGGGTCGGGTCGCTTAAAGAATGCCATCATTAGGCGACCCGATCCAGACCTTCATCGCTTTTTTAACCGCCGCTTCTTTCGCGTCGTTTAATATTTCGCTCGATTATCAGCCGCTGCGCCGGAAACGAGCCTGCGCTATTTCGAACTCTCAAGGGAACGAAAATTTAATTAGGATATTAAACATTTATTCCACGAGCGCTCGTTGGATATCAGACGATGGATAGCCGACGAGGCGAGTAGGGCCGAGCTGGCCATTATCATCTCATATCCCACAAACGCGAGTGGAATAATTGTTTGGTTAAAAACGCCCCAAAATAAAGCTAGATAAATCTAGACAAATCGTCCCAACTTTATTTTGTAAGAACTAACTGAATGGTACATAAACCGTCCCAATTTTACTTTGTAAGAACAAACAGAATGTGACAATTTACAAAAACACTTCCGGTTTACCTCGTCTTCATGCACGCGCATAGTATAATGGCTCATAATCCATGATGGCTATGCCAATGAAAACTCTTGAATTGCATTATCCAATGATCCAGTTTTTAATGAAACGGTCAAGCCCACCATCCAAGTCTATGGAGTTTATCGGTATGACGTCGAGTTACTCAGATTTTTTGCTTTTGTCTTGCGCTCGTGACAAAACGAATAACATTTTCTGTATTCTTTATTTAATTATTCCGAGATCGAGATCTCGCATACTTTTCTTCTTCTCCTTTTCAAATCTCAAGTCATTTTGCCACTCGGTTCGCAATTGCAACTAAAACTGTAAAAATCTGTAAACAGGCTTTTACAGGAATTGCAATTGTCTAAGCTTGTTAAAAATGGCCTTGGACGAGTATTCCTTATATGGAATTAATTCACTAAAAGAGCGGGAAAATCTTGCCGTGACGAGCTGTGGCGTTCCCCATCTGTTTCCCCCATGTAATATCGACAAAAGCTTGCGAAGAAGTCAAGGTTTCGAGATGAAAAAAGAAAAATTTTCTTTCAAAGTTTGATTGCCGCTGTTGAATCTAAATAATTGGAACAATCTCAGCTTATGCTGATTCACCAGAAATACTAGGCCAGGTATGAAGAACTTGGCTCATGTGTAGTTCTCAGTCTGGACGAAATGATGACTGGAGCAAAAGAGGCAAAGCGCAAACTGTTGTGGACTAATCGGTGACAACACGAGTTTAAGGTTCCAAATATAATAATCGAGGAGACTCCGAGAAAAAAGTATACCCAATATATAAAACTTTGCTTCACCAAGTTTTGAGTAAAACAATTACTGCAGTTGTTAGGAGAAAATCTAGCTTGCGTGATACGTTTTCAATGGTGCGTATGTCTAAAACAGTGTTTGTTTTCAATTTTGGTGACAATTTTGGTACGAACAGGTACAGAATATAATATTTCAACTTCAAACGCAGCCTACAAAAGCCCTCTATACTGATTAACTTTGCCTTAATCGATCGCGCTGCATCCGGTTCAGTGGCCAGCTACATCTATTTTCAGAGAAAAAAAAGTTTCATTCAAGAGTCTTGCATTTTGCAGTCTTGAACTTGGTTGAAATTTGATCACATGATGCTTAATGAAAAATAAATAAATATATAATTCACTGATTCAATAGACAATGTTCTTAGACGCAAAGTGATCTAGTACGTAGATCGTACATATGCGCCACTTATCCGCAAAAGGTCTGGGTACGAGACTGAAAGTAATCATCCAACCTCTAACTAAAAAAAAACGTGCTAAAAAAAACGTTTGAATTCACTTACAATAACTTTGCTTGTCAATATAAATTATGTGTAACTAAAGTTTTTAAATAAGTCGTGGCTGAAATTGGGAAGATGGCGAAGGATTGACAGACAATGCACGTGTTTTCACTATTGGCAAAAAGCAATCCGACGCAGTAAATCCGTGCATCACGCGCATAATGAGGAAATTTATTCGCTGTAATGGCCCATTCAGATTGCAGGATTTGATTACTCCAACGCCCTCTTGTGCACCGAGTCAAAAACATAAATAACATTCATGAACATTTGTTAAACAGCAACGCTAAATACTGATATACTTATTAATATTAGAGTCTTTTTTATTGCATAAGTTAGTTACAAATTGAAACGCACTGCTTTTCTTAAATTTCTTTCACCTTTTATTAACATAATTAGATTTAAACCTAGAACATGCAAATGCACATTTGAGACTTGAACACAAATTCGTCTATCTTCTACTCGTTGTGTAGCAGTTTTCTATTAGCAAAAATTGTGAGTCAAATTTTAACGCATCGCAAAACTTGTGTCTTATGGAGGCTAATTCAACTAGTCAACAAACTTTTGCATTTTATAAAGTGGGTAATGTTGCTCTTCGCCCAAGTCTTTTTGAAATATGAAGCGATAGCGAAGGTGCTGCAATAGAGATCCTTCTAGGCTT